GAACGTCAAAATTTGGGTTCCAATAGCCCCATTAGGTGGAAGTTCGAAGGCTGTGAAAGCAAGAGTAGATAATACGACCTTCAAGAGGGAGAAAAAAACAAGGTCAAAAATTCAAGCGGCACTATAGATGGTCATTTGTGTTCTTCCATGCAATTGCAGCATTCATAAACTGCAAACAGAAGCTTAGCATAAAAGATCAGGGCAAAGAGCAATTATAGGACTACATAATGACAATGGTGCCATTCAAAGGTGTTTAAAATTATTAATCAACAGCACCAAGTATGCTTCCAGCTATGCTAAAATAACCGTTCATGGAATTTTCCCACAACAAAGACGTTGCAAGAGCCGTAGCCCTTAAGAAACGCAAATGTCCCTATGCATATTCAATCAGAAGTTCAGAACTTTAATTATAATTTTATATCAACACTTATTGATCAACACACATACACACAGACACAAAGTAAGAGAGAGGTGAATCTAAAAAATGATATTTGTTACTGAAAAGTAATTTGTTATATAAATAGCTTTTCACAAAATGATATATATAAAACTATAATTAAATTATTTGGTTCCTATCAATTAATTTGTTAAGCGAACAAAACACTGAAATGCAACGTCCATTTCTTCCTCCTACTTATTAGCAACTCAATTCCTATCTTATTCCATTCCATATGAATACTCTTCTTCTTCTTTATTTTTTTTGGGTGCCTTATAGCTTTCCAGAATACAAATACAACCATAAAATCTGAAATAACCTCAAAACTTACATTTTTCCAGTTATATCAATACCCTAACTACTCCAGTTTGAATTTCATAATTATCCTCAATAAAGAGAATACTACCGTCTAATTTACACAACCAGATGGACACTAGAAACACCAAGTATTTCTTTTTGTCTACAAATTACCTGAGTTAATCCCATTCCAAAGGCAAATTTTGCAAGAGCCTTTAGGCGCGAGAATGAAAGCTCCAAGCCCATCTCAAACAGCTGAAAGGGAAACATAACAGTCAAACAAAACAATGTAAAAGGTTTGCACTAACATATCACCATGAGAGGAATATAAGCTTATTTAGAAATCATATTCTTTAACTTTCGGGAGAACACAAATTGCAGAAGAAATGGCACAAGCATCTAAGAAAAAACTATGCAAAGCAAAGGACACTTCATCAAAACACCTTCCCAGGTATTTCCCTGTCCATAATCTGAGGTAAGTCCAGGCAGTGAACCCTAAGTATTAATCCTCTTTTTTACTCTTAGTGTCACAGTTAGGTGAATCCGGTAATAAACCAATAGAAAACTAATTTAAGATGGATGTACTTATGTTTGAGCATCATAAGGATTCGACGTAAGATAGGAGTGTTGGGCCCTCCCCCTCCTCCTTTATGTGGGCTTGGGACCCGCAGCCGACCCCACTTAGTGGGATAAGGCTTTGTTGTTATTGTACTTATGTTTGAGCATTAATAAGTACACACGAGAATATATATTTTCATTCTTTCTATGAAGTACACAGGGGTGGCCGAAGCAAAAAGAAGAAGTTCTGTCTTCATAATGGAAAAGAATTTTTCGCTTATCTCAAGTGTTAGGCAACCACTAGACCTCAAAAACTTAAGTTAGAGAATGGGCCAAGCATGCATATCAAGCTAACACCCTCCTTCCTCACCTGCACCTCCCTAAACAGCAAAATATGGGAAATGCCAATAGGAGGTTCAAGGCATGATCTCATGCGACTCAGGTCTGATACCCTGTTAGACATCTACTGAACCCCAAAAGGATAAGTTGTTAGGGAATACACCAACTACGTATATCGGCAATGACCATTTGGAATAAAGGCATTTAGTCTCCACTTTGTTCTTGAGTCAAATCTCATAGATAACAGTAATTGAATATGAAAAAAAATGAACCAATAATGTAAATCAAGCTAACACAGAGGGCTATCACAGGTGCACAAAGCAAGGTGATGAATTGCAGTATTCATAGACATGGTACAGGTACAGCATAAGAATAGAAGGCCAGATATTATTAACTTTTCTGCCAGTAAACATCAACAAAGAATGCTTACCAAGAAAAGAATCCCCCATTCAGACAAAACTTTCACATCAGTAAGATTCCGAATCAAGCCAAATTGATTGAGTGTAATCCCCGCAAAGAAGAAACCAAGTATCTGAAAACCATAACGTATACTGTATTTCATCTAAGAAGTGATCTCGTGTAAATTTTACAAAAATAACAATAATATAGGTGCGATACAACAACAGTCTTACAGGACTAGCTTTAATGATCTTGAATGCTGGAACGATAATGACAGTAACAGCTAAGAACGTCAGAGTATCAAATCCCAAATCATTAATGACATCAGCAGCGCTGGCAACATCAAGTCCTGCACGTATAATCCGCAATCTTTTTGAAAGGACTGGTCTGTGGTTTGAGAAATAAAGTCCTCTCCATCCGCATACAGAGGAAGCTAGTAAAGGATTTCCCAAGAAGTTTCTTGCAACAAAAGGGGGATGCCTTGTCTTGTAATTAGTGGCATATGATAATGGATGCAGTTGCTGCTTACTGGAATACGGAATAAAAGAACACCCAGAAAACCGTGATATGGACAGAGAGCAGGCCATAAACGGGCTCTTTTGTTTGACAGTGTTGTATCCCTGCAAGGAAGAGAAGACAAGATATAGGCTAGATTAACTTAAACAATTATACTCCACTATCAAAATGCAGGAACAAAGAAGAATGGAAAACTTAATGGCTTTCGATTTTAAACAAAATTCCGAAAGTTTGGCTGATTGCATGTTCTGGTTTCCTGTTGTGGATTGAAAACTTGACATAATATAAGGAAAAATTGGCAAAATGTTGAGCACATAAATAAAAGTCTGAATTTTTGTTCCCTACTGATGGTGATGGTCACCAGGTACAAAAGAAAGACAACATCTTTTCAGTTCATCATTTGGTACGCATGAAATATACAGAAAAAGGATAACAAGTAGAAGCATATTTACCTTAGAGCTTTCAAAATAAGTGAGTGACTCCAACATAGTGCTGAGGCTGATGACACAAGAAAACCCACATTGAAGAAAAGAAAAACCCACGACTTATGTTGCTTTTCTTACAAAACCCACAATTTAGTTATGCAAATATTTGAGGAAAACACAGAGAGCTAAATCATTTGAACCTTCTTAGTAAAAGATGGGAGAGAAAGAGAGGGAGAAGCAAAAGCTGAGGACGAAAAGTGCACACGTTTGAGGCCTCCTGCCTGCCAATGTGTTTGAAACGAGAGAGAGAGATATAATCCAATAAGCTTGGCTTGCATGCGACTGTGTGTGTTGACAGTTTGTGGAGGAAGGGCAGGGTGTGAGGCAGGCGTTGGAGCAACGAGAAATGGGTTTCAAGTCACGTCAACTAAATGACAAAAGCCAATCTGATTTTTCCTTGATACTGTTCCACCTGGCGATTTCCAAGGCTGCAAAGAACTTGCCACTTGTAATTATCTGACAAGAATTTTTAGCAGATAAGAGAATAAAGAAAAGAATCACCACCAATGTTTGTGCAAGTCTCCTTTTTCTTGGTGAAATTGGCTTTAGCTTTTACCACCAGCTAGCATAGGTATGAAAATATGAAGGTACAAGGGATTAGAACGGGCGAGGATGTGAATGATTGGGGCTCATTTGGAAGTGCTTTTGAAATGACCGAAAGCGCTTTTGATGACATTGATTGAGTGCCAAAATCACTTTAAGTGTCTTTCGGAAGAAGAACTAGATATGTGCTTCTTGCATGAAGCATTTAAAGTGTTTTTCTATAATCCACTTAGATTTTTGCTTGGGACTGATTTAAAAAAAATTTCATCAAAAACGCTTTCAATTATTTTAAAATCACTTTCAAACGGCCATGGATAACAACCTCATATGTTAATGGGATACCTTTATTTTTCAAGTTACTTGTACCTAAATTGATGGTAACCATTCCTATTTTCATACATGGTAAGTGAACATGACCTCAAGGTAATGTCGTAAAGTGGGCGATGACTGAATGAATATGAGGAAAATAAAAACCCGCTTCTAACCTCGTTTAACATCATGCTTCCTCCGAAGCTTTCATCTGAATAGTCCTGTGGGAGGGGATAACCATCTCTCTTGCCAATCCCCGGGGTATTAGCAGCCTGTTTCCAGCTGTTGTTCCCCTCCCACAAACAAGTTCTGACGCGTTACTCACCTGTCCGCCACTGGAAACACAGAGCACCTCAAGATTTACAGCGTTTCCGCTTCCATGGGATGTGCTTAAAGCCTCTCCATTTTTCAAGCAATCATCACACTTCATTATCAGGTGCTAGGACGAATGAGATTAGAGTGCATATAACTTTTTCAAAGGGCTAATAACAATTCTCTTGAATTCTAGTAGCGCAATTCCGAGTTTTTCTAGGTTTCTCATCTTGGAAACCTACTTGAAACCGCATATGAAAAAGAAGGCATCATCCTCAGTTATGCAGCAACAAATTAGAAACTTGACGAAACCGTCGGCATTCATGGTAAAATATAGAAGCTCGCTCTGCTGCGCTGTCCTTAATCCATGTCTTAGTTGTAATCAAACCTTAACGGGCTAATGTCTTATCAGATCAAATTGCATTATTGTGTACCCTGATTCCGAAGGTTGTCTTTCTACAAAATCCTTTCAAGCTCTACCGCACGTAACCATTAAACCGTACTATTGTAAAGAAATTCACACACAGAAAGGATGTATATTCCTGCAACCCTCTCACAGTAATAAACCTCACCAGCAGCTGAAGTCTTTACAATGAGGACGGACGCAAGATTTTCTTTTACTCAATAGACATCATATAAGGGTTTCCCTACGACAAACGAACAAAACCATGTTATCCTTTTACACAAATCTTCCGTTAAACCAAGGTGACTATACATCAGAACTCAGACAGAACATAATCTGGGATGGCTGGAGGAATGGAAGCAAAAGAAAACCCATTTGGCGAAATTATGTGTTAGTTGAAGCATACAAAAAGAAGAACGATAGCATTAGCACAAAAGGTTTTACCATCAATCCTTATTCCTTACATGACAACCACTTTATTGATAGTAACTTACGATATTGATATGTAATATGCAAAGGGATTCACTGAGATGAATTAGAACTGGGAGGAACAAACGCTTCACTGAGATGGATTAGAAGTGGGAGGTGCAAATTTGAGTGAAATACTATTAACGCAATGGCGTTCATCTGTGGGTGTTCGAAAACCTTCTCCTTTGAATACATGACCCAGGTGTCCACCACAAGCCGCACATGTAATTTCAGTCCTCATTCCATCTGGGTCTGGCTGAAAGCATAAGATTTTCATTAATAATAAAACTGATAGCTCCAATTAAATTAAGATGAAAAAACCAAAAAATAAGGACTACCACAAGGAAGATTACTCACGTTAAAATTTATGGCCCCAGGAAGACCCTCGTAAAAAGCTGGCCAGCCACAACCAGAATTAAATTTGGTTGTGGATCTGTAGAGAGGAGTCCCGCATCCTGCACAGTTATAGATTCCCTCCTCAAAGAACTTGTCATATTCTCCTGTGCCCGGATACCTTTATAGCACCAAATAATTTCCAGAGCACAAGTTAGCCTTCATTCTTGTATTTGCAAATCATCATAAAGTATTAAGCATGTTATAATGTTACATTACACTTTTGTAATGAAAGTTCGAACGTAGATTAATTTAGATGTTCAATGCAGCAATCCATTTTATTTCTGAAGATCTTGCAACAGCGATTTCAATTGAAGCCTATCATGCATTTCATTTTTTGTTTTAACTGGAAGTAGGAGAAATAAATAAGTCCCTCAAGTTCCTCGCACACAGTTTCAGTAATTAGAATGAATCTAAGGGTCCTGTTGAAATTAGCAAAGAAATGAAATACAAATAACAGATATTAACGACACTTTCTACGTGTAAGAGACTACATATCACATTTCCTGTTTTACCAAATGTCTATTTGCTCACAGATTAATACTTGAAATCTCTCTAAAAGTGTAAGATGTAACCGTTGCAATGTAAAGCAGCATCCCCTATTTCAACTCCACTTGTATAATGCTTAATGTTTCAGGTCTTCCTTCTATAGTAGTCGGTCCCAAAGAGAGAAACACCTATAGGATTAGGATGACATTCAAGTTTAGTCTCATAGTCACACAGTATGAACATGGACCTCTTTTTTTCTCTGTTCGGGACAATCCATGTAAGTCTGCCAATTTCAGTACAGAATCTGAACTATTTGGTTTTTGGATACTACTCATATCATATTAACATTTTAACATCACTTTCCTCGAGCAAGTGGCAGTCATGGCAATCAACATGCCAATGTTTATAAGCAGAATACTTTAGATGACAGAGTAAAAACAACCCTAATGACGCTTGTTTTGCCACTTATATTTAGACAAAAAACGGAAACTCCCTCATTTAGTGAAAAACAGCTATCTCTGCTATACTAGACAAAAATAAATCAACTAAATACAACAACAACAAAGCCTTTTCCCATTAAGTGGAGTCGGCTAAATGAATCCTAAAACGCCATTGCACTCTGGTCGTCTGTTACTTCTTCCGTTAAATCCAAGTACTCTAAGTCTTTTTTTTTTAGAGTTTCTTCCAAAGTCTTCCTAGGTATTTCTCTACCCCTTGGGCCCTGAACCTCTATCCCGTAATTGCATCTTCCAACCGATGCATCAGTACGCCTTCGTTTCACATATCCAAACCACCATAACCGATTTTCTCTCATGTTTCCTTCAATTTCAGCTACTCCTACTTTACTTCAGATACCCTCATTTCTAATCTTATTATTTCTCGGGTGGCCACACATCCACAAAAATAAATCAACTAAATAAACAAAATAAATCAAAACATGCTTCAAAACAGCTAATTCTTTCTCTAATTTATACATTAATGCAACAAAACTGCAAATCCAAATCAAAATAATCAAGCAACTAAACTAACAATTGCAAAAATGCCTTACTCTGTGCCTTTCTGCCTCAGAATCCGAAACTGCTCGGGAGAGAGCACGGTCCGCCACTCTTCCTCAGACTTCTGAGCCGACCCAGGTGCAGCCATGGCTAAAACTACCCCGCCACGAAAGCTCCGCTTGCTGCGGTGCAAAGACCCAGCAAACCCAGCAGCGGGTAGAACGCTTGCGATGGGTTTTGGAGGTAAAGTTGTGAAATGGGTTAGGAAGACAGAAGCCGGTTTAGGGCTTGGAGGGCGGAGGAGGTTGGAGAGAGTGGGTGTGATGGTGGTGGGGTTGAAGATTATGGTCTTGGAGGAAGAAGGGGAAGATGACCTCAGAATGTGCAAGCCCATTTCAAGATAGGACTCGTTCAACTGCAATAGAATATGCACCCTGCCTTTTTGGGAGACATCTTTTATCATTTTTCTTTTTTGTTGAAGCAATTTCAAATTTTCAATCTTTCTATTTAATTTCTAACCAAACAAAATCTTTATGTTTTATGAATGAAAATTACTAGGACGATTATGTTTTTAAACTATATTTTGTAGGTGATTGGATACCTTCTTTAATGATTTTTTTTTTTTTTGAATAAAACGATAGCGTTAGTAAGTTAAATGTTAAATTAACTATTGACGGGGTTCGAACCCACTGTCATGCAAGGGCATAACACATTTCCACTACTGTGGTAAAGGGCCACTTGCACCTTTTTGAATGATTTAAACAAGAATTCAACCATCAATTATTATATCATGTAATTTACAAAATATAATTTAATATATATAAGTACAACTACTTATGTCACTTATTACTACTGCTTAGTGATATTTCTCTTCACTTGTAGGTGAGAGATCTTAGGTTCGATTATCACTAAAGGCAAAGTTGAATCACATTATTGGTAGCTCATTATGAAGCTAAGATCACATTCTCCCTCTTAGCGTAAATGAAACCGTTTGTTCAAAAAAAAAACAACTTTTGAGTTTATGTCATGTGGTGTCAGTAATGAAAATAGGAAGTAAACAAATTGTTAGGCAAAACTTAGTTGAGTGACTAAGGGTGGGCAAGGACCGGGCCGTAGGGGTGGGCATGGTGCGGTTCCACCCCTAAATTGGAACCGAAACCGAAATATATTAACGGTTCGATTCGGTGCGGTTCCACTTAAATTTATTACTAGAACTTTACGGTTCCTAATAATAAATTATTTGAACACCAAATCATTATGCATTCAAATACATCTTCTAAAACTGATTACATAAAGTTGCATACAACACATCTTTTTTAATGCAAATGTCTTTGGTAGTGGCACCAAGTCAACAAAAAGAGACAACTAAAATACATATGCACTGGTAAATCAGTCAACAAACAAAAAAATGATGAAGCAAATTGCAGGTTTTTAGACTTCAGAGAGCAAGCAAGAAGTAGTAGCTCCTGTACACAATTTTTCAACCTATTATACCATGACATGTGTGTGTATATATAATTTATTTATTTATTATTAATAAAACGGTTCGGTTCGGTTCAGCTGGTTCTTGGTCATTCGAAACCGGAACCGGAACCGGTTTGAACGGTTCGGTTCGGTTTTTCACTCAAAGTTGACTTTTCCGATCAACACGGTTTTTTTCGGTTTTTTTTCTTACGGTTCAATGCGGTTTTGCGGTTTTTATGCCCACCCCTACCGGGTCGGGTCGAAAATTAAAATGACTAGCCCTGACCCGTTTATAAATGAAACGGGGCGGGTTTTATTATTTTAGAAAATGAAACCGGACCTAACCCGACCCTTTTCAAATGAGTCAGTTCTTACGGGTCCTTAATCTCCAACAACTCTGCTTCTCTGGCTCGTTTGATTCGTCGTCGTTTTAACCAGAGTATGCTCGAAGAAGAGTCGTTCATAGAAACAAAGAAGAACCCTAGCCCCTAAATTTGGCCCGTAATGAAAATTTGAGGATTTATAGTTTAAATTGGAAATCGAATGAAATGAAATTGGAAAGATACTCACTGGCGGCTTGGAAAAGGGAAACGGCGGCTATTAGGGTGGGCACATAAGGATTCTTGGCTGGGTTGAGGTTTTGGAAGCTTTGAGTTGGGGTTTTCTAGGGTATTCGATTCGCGTTCGAATTGTGACCCTTGAGTTGTGAAAAGGACCTTGAGTTTCGAGTTATGTGAGGCAAGGACTGAAGACAGTGAACAGATCAAAGAGCACGAAGTCACGACTACCGCGAAGAGACAAACGATGGTGAACGGATGGATGAACACGAATAAGAGAGAGACAGAGTGATAAATAATGGAGATTTAATCAAGATAGAAAATCAATGGTCCAAGCCAAGGTCTGTTTTCTCCAATTTCTAGAACCGCTCCACCCCATTATTTACCTGGACCCACCCCGCCCCATTTTGTATTTATAATTTTTGGACCTGCCCCGAACCCCATGGATCCGCCTCGACCCGTCGGTCCATGACCCGTTTGCCCACCCCTAGGAGTAACATAATTTGTCCAAATGTAGAAAAAGCAAATTGTTAGGCAAACTTAGTGGAGTAACATAATTTGTCTAAATGCACAGAAGGTTACCTAAATTACAAAAGAAAGTGAACTTATATTCAAGCATTTCTTTGGTTCATTGATCAAATGTTTCTTTTTTTACAAACTATAGTGTTAGTAGGTTATCTATTAGAGGATGGACAGGGATTGAACTTGAACCAGGGTAAGAATATTCTCACCCTAGGCAGGATGGATATTTATATAAATATAGGAAATTAAATTCCAACATTCACTAGGTAGATGTCAGAATCACCAATAATTAGTGAATTATCATCAGAAAGTAGTTACTTTCTAGAAACTTCGCAAGCCTAATATGACGCAGCCAATCCATACCCAAGATAACATCAAAGTCCCCGATGTCCAAAGGTATAAGTTTAGCTAGCATCACTTCTTCCTCGACATGGATGGGACATCCTTGGTACTCCCCTTGTACATAACAAACTTCACATCTAGGCATTGAGATTCCAAATCATACCCAAAAAGAATAAAGTATGGTTAAGTCTTTTAAGAAAACGAGTGAGGTATAACCAAGTGCTTGACACCTAAATCAATTAAGACTTTAGCAAAATAGCGTAGAACATTCAAGCCAGGGTTATTTTTGTGCGTCATACATAGTGATTTTGTTGACATGGCCATGAGTCTGCTAACCGTCTACATGGCATCCCTGATTCCCTTGATTTTGATTGGCTATACCTTGATTGCCTTGTCCCTAATTTGTCTGAATTTCTTGCCTACCATGTCGCCACAGTTGAACGTTATAACATGATTTTGATATTAACACCACCATACCACTGTGCATTACCACCCTAGAATGGTTGGATAACCTCCTTAGTATGGTGGCACATCAATCTGGTACTGGTAAACACCTATTTGATAATGTGTTTGTATTGCCCTAATAATGGAAGGCATCTTTGTATCCTAGTTGCTGGTATGAGCCAGTTCCCATGTGTAGATTATGTTGCTAGGGTACTGATCTTGGGAGTTGGGTATGCTGATTTCGAGGAAACTAGTTGGCCTTATGTCTAATCTGGCCACATGTTTAACATCTTTTGTTCCATTGCTAACGCTCGTCATAGTGACGAGTGTTACATCTGTGACATAATGGGCACAAAACTAGTATAACCACTTTGAGTTTGAAAACGAGAATTGCCAGTAGATTCACCTCATACTCGAGGTGTATTGGGGTTAGAATTCCCTACTGTAAGATCTGGAACTTTTATTGCTTTACTTAAAATGACTAACTTCTTCGTGAACCAAATGATGATTGTCCCCGGCTGTTTAGGTTATAGAACCTTCTTTGGCATCGTAGTCGCCTGGGGCATTTTCGGAATCCTTAACAAGTAATAGAGCCTTGCAAGACTCGCAATAAGTGTTAGATCTTGCAGATGCTGCCAAATGTCCCTTCTTGGCACATCTCCAACGCATTTTTTTCCGTAAAGGATGAAAAAATGATTCGAAGCATCGACTACAATCGTGCCAAATTATCAAGCCTCCGCCACTTCCAAGCTTAACCTACAACCACAAAAACCTCATTCTCATACCAACCTTTATATTCAAAACCCACCAAATTGGGTATATCATGGTTAGCAGTAATATTAGTTGCCTTCAAATATGAATTTCGAAAACAAATTATATAATATAGAACCCAATGATCAAATGAGTATTGAATTGAACCGAAGAGCTTGTTTCTACTTATGATTTCTTCATTCGCCAATTCTTGGCTCATAAAGCTTTCAGTTCTTCTTTGTGAGAGATGAAGATGGTGATGGTCGCATCAATGTAGTCTATACCATTTCAATAACCTCCATGACCTTCTTCTCGATGTTGGTGGCTTGAGTTGTAGGGTGGAGTTAGTGATTGTGCGTTGAGTTTGGAGGTGATGGTATGGTGGGGGTGGTGCTGATCGTTAGTTGGTGGAGGCTATGCTTCCACGACCTTATATTGATTGGAGCCAAAGTGAGCCCTAGTTAATTTAACAGAAATTTAATCGGGGCTTAACGGATATAACATTTTATAAGTTGATTACTTATTTGAAATGTTTAAAAAGGTTGAAAATATTTTGAAATAACACTAAAAGGTTGGAAGTTTTAGGTACTTAATCATAAATTTAATTAGAATTAAAAAAAGGGCCTAAGCCCCCGTCTAGGCCTCACTTAGATACGCCTTTGGTACGACAAGCATTTTTGAAAACCTTTCTCACAATATTTTAAAAAATATATTTTATCAAATGCTCAACTACTTTATTTTATTTTAAAATTTGATTTTTTTTGTTTTTAAAAAATATAAGACTTCTAAACTAATCCTTAAACCATCTCCAACCCTGGGCTAAAACTAAATTTTTTAGCGAAGAAAATTTAGTTTTTAGCCTAGAAACAGTTTTTCTGCTCCCATCATTTTGGCCTAAAATTTTAGTCGGGGATTATTAAAGAATGAACTTAGGCTAATTTAAAAAAAAAAAAAAATTATGTAGACTATTGTAAATTAATTTTATGAACATTTTAATCTAAAAATATTTAAATTCTGATAAATATTGAAAAATCATTAAATCTTTCCACAAAGCAAGCCTTTAACTTTCACCAAACTTTCAACTTTCACCAATCTTTCGACTTTCATCAATCATCTTCTATATAAACACAGGTTCAATATCAGTTGATCACACAATCTTTCAACCTTCAATCATCCTCTATATTCACCAATCTTTCAACTTTCAAAGTGTTTTTGTTTCCTAAAAATCCTCAATATCTCATCAACGAGTGATAGAAGAAGGTGTAATAGGGCAATGCAGATGGCACAATACCAAGCAAACCTTGACATTGAGGATGCATAAATGAACTTGCAAACTTGCTTATGCAATATGAGCACCATGCCAAATCTAGTTATCGTGGTTTTGTCACGTGGCGTTCATTTGTGCAGCGTGATAGAAAAGAGTGCCATGACCGAATGATGAAAGATTCTTTCATTGAGCGTCCGAGATTTCCTGCTCATGATTTTCGGAGGCAGTTTTCGGATGAGGATAGAGTTTTTTAAAAGCATCTTGAACATAGTTGTCAATCATGACCGCTACTTTGCAAGGAAGATAGATGTCGTAGGCCAACAAAGTCTATCACCTCATTAGAAGCTCATATCTACATTTCGGATGCTAGCTAACTGGGTGCTCTGCAGACTCAACTAACGAGTATTGCCGACTTGCGGAGACTATTGCTGTTGAGAACCTGAAACGCTTCTGTGGAGCAATTTAAGCTATATATGGAGCCACATACCTCCACAAGCCAAATCGTTTGAAGAGGCTTCTACACAAGGTAGACAAAAGTGGCTTCCTTAGCATGATAGGAAGTCTCGATTGTATGCATTGGGAATGGAAGAATTGTCCTACTGCTTGGGCTGGCCAATTCGAAGGCCATCATAATAAGCCAACCATCGTGCTCGAGGCTGTGGCGTCTTATGACACATGGATTTGGCATGCATTCTTCGGCGCTCCTAGATCAAACAATGATATCAACGTTCTTTGGTCTTCTCCTCTATTCGATGATGTTGTCAATGGATGGGCACCAGAATTTTGGTACAAGGTAAATGGTAATAGGTATGAGCTAGGTTACTGCCTAACTAATGATATTTATCCTAATTGGTCTACCTTTGTCAAAAGTTTTTCTCATCCTGATAGTGCAAAGAAGAAATTATTTTCGCAGCGGCAAGAGTCTTACAGGAAAGATGTGGAAAAAGCGTTCGGGATTTTACAAGCTCAATGGGCCATTGTTAGAGGGCCTGCATGACTTTGGCATATTGAAGACCTCCATTCAATCATGATGACGTGCATAATTTTGCACAACATGATTGTGGAAGATGAGTACATCAAAATTGAAGAAGATTCAGACAAAGATGTGGATGATGACCAACCTATACATGCGAGAGCTATTGCAAGAGATGTTGACTATCTTGCTGCAACCACATATGAGACCCGACAGGATTTGGTCACATTGAGTGAGTATATGAGACAGTTTAAATAGAATTCAAGCTCCTCAAGGTCATGACACACTCCGCATAGATTTGGTTGAGCATGTATGGCGCCTAGAAGGTGAACGTTGATAATGTTGGTTGAGCATTTATGTAACAATTTTAAGTGTACTATGTTGGTATTTTTCTAGTAATAAATTTAAGTGTCTTCTTGTGCAAAGTATTTTGTCTAGTACGTTGGATAAATTATTGAATGAAGGTTGAATTATTGAAGGCATCTATTCTACATCAAAGTGTGGAATAATAAGTACAATAATTATTGAAGGCATATAGATTAATATAAACAATAATTAATAAGCCATAAATTTAATACACACGACAATTAATAAAGTACATAAACTTAATACAAACGACAACTAATAAACCACATAAACTTAATACAATCAATAATTCATACACTACATATACTCAATAATGATATCCACCATCTTGACTTGGTGATGGACTTGGTGGTGGACTTGGGATATAGGGTTGAGATGATTCATCATCTTGAAATATACTTCTTGTGGCATACTTTCGCAAAATTTCCTTTTGCTTACCACGTAAGAACTTCTTCTTCTCTGGAGTGTATTTGTTGAGGTCCTCCATCATGAAATTAATTTCAAACCCATCTTGCTCCCTATCCCCTTCTTCCTTCATTTGCAAATGCATTCGGGCCGCTTCTTCTTGGCAAGCGCTATGGGTTTCGCTCAATCTTGCAATTCCGGTAGCAATGTGTCCACTTATCGGATCTTGGGACTTCCCTTTTCTCTTTGCTTCCTTTCGCTTATCTCTTCCCGAGGGCCTTGCAAAAGAAGGAGTTGGGGTCCTTTCATCAACACCTTCATTGACACCTTCATCTCCAACATTTGTCGGTGCGGCTTCACGTTGAAATAATCTTCCCCATTGTTGGTCCGCATCAGTTCCCCACCTCGGACAATCCTTGAGGACATCCTAAGCATGTTGCAACTTAAAAACTTGATTTTTTGGTGTTACTCTTGTCTTATAAATTTCCATTGCTTTGTCACCTATGCAAAAAATACATAAAAACAATTAATTGCAAAATAATATTACGTAGATGACAAATAAAATATCAAGAAAAAAACTCACAATTTCTGTGGCGCTCCTCTTTCCACTAGCTATGCCAACCAAGACCCTCTCTAAGCTTCCCTTCCACTAAGCTATGCTTTGTTGATAGTTTTCATGAAACTTTTCAATGATTTTATTCCCAAAACCTTTTTATTTTGATTCGTGCCTACTAGCACCATCTTCGCTAACAGAAACCCATGCCAAGCATAAAGCAACATCTTCCTCACAGGTCCAATTACGTCCTCTAATATGCTCTTTTGCCATGTTGAACAATTTGGAAATGGAAAGAAATTGTAGAAGGAAAATTGGAAGAATTGTAGGAGAAAAATGTGTTTTGTGTGGATGTTTGAACAAATACATAGGTATTTATAGAGTTTTGGGTGAATTTTGAGTTAAATAAAAATTTTAAATTATTTTAGCCGTTAATTTAAATTTGAGCCGTTAGATCTTTTCTTTTACCGTTAAATTTGATTATATTCGATCTCAGCCATTGGATTCAATGTATTTTAACTAACATTTTTTAAAATAACAAAATTTGAATATGGATCGTTGGATCAACCAACGGTCCAAAAATGCCAACCGTTAGATGCAGAAAAGAGTTGTTGGGCTCTATGTTGTGGCCGACAGTAGCCTTGACAGTGGCCCCCCCTGTCGGGTGCTAAAGGCTCACAGGCCACGTGGGGCAAGTTGGCGAGTGAACGGGCCGCGAGTGGGGTAATTTTGGGTGAGTCCACGCGTTTGTGGACTAAATTTTGGAGGGTATTTGGCCTTGGTTTGGCATTCGGCTTTTAGCCCAAAAATTTGAGTTAGGTTGGGTTGTGTTTGGAGGGAAGGGGGTGGGGAGGGAAATAAGTGGGGTATTTTAGCTTTTAGATCAGGGTGGGGTGTAGTCTTAGGCATGGACGGTGGTCAATTAATGGAGTTGGCGAAGTACTAATGCCAAACACACTCCTTTTCCCTTTGATTTGGTTTGGTTTGACGGTTTTGGTCTGCCATCAAAATTCAAAACGTGTTGTTCAATTTTGACATTGGCTTCCGCCCTTCTGGTCGTCGGTCAGACTCAAAACTCTTCATCTTTCGCACCAAATCCCAAATCCCCAATAAAAATAAAACATTTGAATAATTCCTTCCACCATTCTCTCTCTCTCTCTCTCTCTCTCTTCATATACGCATCGCAGCTCATCTAATCACCCACCTTCAACTCCAATATCTCTCTCTCTCCAATGGCGGCGGCTGCGAGTGGCTTCGCGGCCTCTCTTCCACGGCCCAGCGCGGAGCGCACCACCTCCTATTCTTTCTCTACATCCTTGCATTCCCAAATCCGGATCCCGTACAGGCCTCTCCAAACCACAACGCTCAGAGGAGGACCCGCTTTGAACCCTAGGTGTGAAATAGGCTCCGAGAATTCGGTTCAGACGGTCAACATCGGTTCCAGGTCTTTGAGCTCTTCGGCTCTCGAGCTCCTCAAAACCTCCGCAGCTGACAGTGAGTCCTTCATCTCCATTCAATTACTCATTTGCATATACCGTGCCTTCCCAATTGCATAGCAATTTTAATTTGTCAAATGACTTGATTTGCATAATATGCTCAATCCTTGATTTGGTATTTTAGTGTATTATTCAATTGGAAGGGTGGTTGCTAATACTAAAATCATTTTTCTTAATCACTAATTATGTGTTCATCTGACAATTAGCATAGTTGGAAGTGCTTGGTTCCTACTAGTCCAAGGATGTTTGGTGATGAGTCCATGGGAGGTCTCAGGTTAGATTGTCTTGTTTGTTTAAGGAGAATTGCGGTGCGTCTCAGATCCTTTTATAGATGCAGGGTGCTTGTTCTTCCGCTTTCTTTTGGGGTTTGGCTAGTGGGTTCTTAATTGATCATGTTTACGGGCCTTAATCCAGCATTCAGATACCCAATGTCGAAATCTGGTTTTCCCAGAAGTTTGGAAACCATGAGGTGTCCGAGAGAGTCGCCATTTTTCTTTGATTTTTCCCATGTTGTCAAAAGTTTTTCCCTTTCTGGGGTTTATGGGTTATAGTTTTAGTGGTACACGTGTGTGTACTTTCAGGGAGTAGTCATCTGTTTTGTGTTATATTTGGTGTAATCGTGATGAAATTTGCTAGCTATATAACTAGCTGCCAGATAAATCCGGGGTTAATATTTGTATTTCCTCTCAACTTTCCATTTTGTACAGTGAGTGTGTAGTTATCTATCTTACAAAGATATGGATGGCACTACTTAATTTGGGGATCTTTTAATTTCTGTTAGGGTATACGAAAGAGAGGAGCAGCATTGCAGTACTAGGGCTGAATGTTCACACTGCTCCAGTTGAGATACGTGAGAAACTTGCCATCCCTGAAGCGCAGTGGTCTCAAGCCATTGGCGAGCTCTGTGCTTTGAACCACATAGAAGAAGCTGCTGTGCTTAGTACTTGTAACCGTATGGAAATATATGTTGTAGCTCTCTCTCAGCACCGCGGGGTTAAAGAAGTGACTGAATGGATGTCAAGGGTACGAATCTTATTTGTTCTTCTTTCAACAATTTTCCTTCATTCAGTTTATTGGCAAAATTATGTTAAAATGGGTTAATTATTTACCTTTTTCTTCAGGTCAGTGGTGTTCCGGTCTCTGAGCTTTGTAAACATCGGGTTTTGTTGTACAACAAAGATGCCACCCAGCACCTATTTGAAGTAGCTGCTGGGCTTGATTCTCTTGTGCTAGGAGAAGGTCAAATCCTTGCTCAAGTCAAACATGTTGTGAAAGTTGGACAGGGAGTACCAGGTTTTGATAGGAAAATCAGTGGTCTGTTCAAGCATGCAATCACTGTTGGGAAGCGAGTTAGATCTGAGACCAACATTGCCTCAGGGTCAGTTTCTGTCAGTTCAGCTGCTGTGGAGCTAGCCCTAATGAAGCTTCCAGAACCTTCTTATGCTACAGCCAGAGTGTTGGTGATTGGTGCGGGCAAGATGGGAAAACTTGTGATTAAACATTTAGTTGCAAAAGGGTGCACAAAAATGGTGATTGTTAATAGGAGTGAGGAGAGAGTGGCTGCCCTACGCGAAGAGTTAAAGGATGTTGAAATAATCTACAGGCCACTCTCAGATATGCTAGCATGTGCTGCTGAAGCGGATGTCATTTTCACTAGCACTGCATCAGAAACCCCATTATTCTTGAAAGAACATGTACAGACGCTTCCCTCTGTGAGTCCAGAACTTGGAAATCGGCTTTTCATTGACATATCTGTCCCTAGGAATGTGGAACCATGCGTCTCAGATCTTGAAGCTGCGACTGTATATAATGTAGATGACCTCAAAGAGGTTGTGGCTGCTCACAAGGAGGATAGGCTAAGGAAGGCTATGGAAGCTCAGACAATTATCACCGAGGAATCAAATAAATTTGAAGCTTGGAAGGATTCTCTTGAGACTGTTCCTACCATCAAGAAGTTTAGAGCTTATGCTGAGAGGATCAGGGCTTCCGAGGTTGAAAAGTGTTTGTCAAAGATGGGTGATGATATCTCTAAGAAGCAAAAAAAGGCTATTTACGATCTTAGCATGGGAATAGTGAACAAACTCCTTCATGGTCCAATGGAACACCTCAGATGTGATGGAAGTGACAATCGTGCTTTGAGTGAGATACTAGAGAATATGCGTGCTCTAAACAGAATGTTTGATCTCGAGACAGATACATCTTTGTTGGAAGAAAAGGTTCGAGCCAAGGTGGAACGAACCCAGAGATAAGGAGCCCTTTGTAGCTGTTTTTGTCCTAGCTCGAGTTGCAATTATATTAGAGCTCCACGTACTGACGCTGCTGCTTGCCATTGCATGCATAGAAAGTAATTTGGAGGCTTTGTGTTTATTGATTTATATTCTTGGGGGACAATTAAATCTGCCCAAATCAACGTAGTTAACAAATGTTCAAGATCGTAGGCACCAAAGCCAAAGTTTTGAGGGGAAATTGATGTAATTCTTGTAACAATTCATTGAAATTTCAGTGTTATAGTCCTAGATAACACTACTTTTAGACATGTCCTCTTTCTTTTTCGGGAGCATTTTGCTTACAACCTTAATTCAAATTGTATGCTGACCACCCTCCTAAGATGTGAACAATACAACTCTTACTCAAAACTCTTAGTATTTTAATCACAAAGTTTTGTACTTATGTTCAGAACCGTTTATACTATGAATCATATTGTAAAGATCATCTCTACAAAAAAATATATTAAAACTAAGGTCGTTTAATTAATCTATTGTAGCAAATACATAGACGGTTCATAATGTTTTTACCAATACCGTTTCTTTTTTTTAAACAGTTTGATGACTAAACGATCTTAATTTTAATTAATTTTTTGCAGATGTGATCTTTATAGGATGATTTATAATATGAACGGTTTTGATTGTAAACATGAAGTTTTATAAATTAACAACGAACGATTTTAAGAAATTTTGAGAAGGAATTCCTACTCATCTTTGAGTAGTCAAGTATTATTCCTAAAATATCATGTCTTTTTTTTGGGAGCATATTTTATTTTATTAATGTTCATTAGAAATACCTTCGTCTTCAACGTCAAAATGATCAATTGCCTCTGGTGGAGATGTTGAAACGGTAGAAATAGATGTTGCAGTCTGACCATTCACTTTGGTCATCCTCCACTGAATCCAAGAATCTAGTAACTATTAACAAAACTCTATACGTCAACTGAAAAATGATGAAAAGATCAAAATAGTTTTACTGTTTTTTTTTTTCTCAATTTCATTAAATAAAAATCTTAATGACAAAATATTTACTGAAAAACAGTCACAAAAAATATAAACAACTCAATAGCAAAGAATGGTTTAAAGATTGTCGTCAAAAAGTTAGCGGAAAAACATATCCTTTCCTTCTAATCTATCAAGTTTGAGAATCCGGACTATTGAAATTTGATCTAACGGGCTCACTTTAAAATTTATAATAACTTTAGTCGTTGAATCAAATTTAATGGTTCGTATCTCCAAACTTGATGGATTAGAAGGAGAGATCAAATCTTTTGCATCAAAAATAGGTGTGACCTCTCTGTAGCCTCAATAAGTGTCTGACACGTATTCATTATCTTAACTTTTGTTAATTTTGTTGTCATAAATTTAATATATATATAAGAAGTTTATTGGGGTTCCAGAGAGACCACACCCACTTTGGATGCAGATGATTTGATTTCTTAGAAGGAAGGGATCTTTTCAAAAGTTAGCATGGGTGGAATTGTTTTATGGAAAACGCATTGGTGGAATTGGTAGTCGTACACAAACAAAACCCTTCGACCTCCAAACTTCCCAGAAACGTAAGGAAAAGGATACAGGCGATATACGTAGAGCTCAAGGGCAAATTCAGCAGACCAACACACTCGCACGTGTACCACCAAAATTTCTCTCCCAAACTCGCACGCTTGCGTTCTTCTCTCTGTCTTCTCTCTCTCCTCAATCCTCCAACATCGAACCAGAGCTTCTTTTCGAGGAATTTACCCCCTCGATTTCGATCCAATTCGGTAAATTTTCATTTACTTTAACTGAATTTTTGTGAAATATCAATTTCTTAATTTCTGTTTGGTTGCCGAGAAATAGTAGGAAAAAAAAGTGAAATCAAATTCCAAATCTTATGTTTTGTGTAAAGGCATGATTGAATCGAAACTAGCTGAACGAAGTCTTTTTTTTTTTTTTTAATTCAGTTTATTGTCTTATCGAATCAAACAAGGATTGGGGTTGTCTAAAATTAGTAGTAGCAGTTGTAATTATCAGGCTCGAGGGTGGAGATTTTAATTTTTGTTTTTAGTTTTTCGTTCACAAAGTGTGAAATTGTAACGTGTTTTCGCTACCCGGTGTTTTGGAAAAGTAAAATTAGTAGTAGACTTAATTGGATGAGTAGTGAAATTTGGTTTAGTGTGGGATTGTAATTTGGCAATTGCTTTCTGTGTAACTTGAATTTGGCATTGTCTCTGTCTTTATAAGTTTCAAAATTTCAATGAGGGTGTGCAAAATTGATCTTTGATGAATTATTGGGCTGCGTTTTATTGATACGTTCTTTTTCGTTACTGGAACAATTTATTGATCAACTGATACAATTAGGAGCAAGAAAAGGTATTCCTTGCTTCTCCTTAAGGTTTCTCTTTTGTGTTTTTTTCTTGAAGGCAGCAAATCGTGTCTAATATTTATTGAAGATAATGCGAGTTTTGTGTTTTTGCTGCCTACTTTATCTTTTTGTAAGCAATTTGTGATATCACTCGAGCGCTTGATTTAATGAAGATAATAGAGAGTTTTATATATTGGTTGCTAACTTTATCATCTTGTAAGCAATCCGTGATATCACTGTGGTGTTTTTTGTTGGAGGTTTTTGTGAACTGTAGGGAGAATACCTACCTTGTAGTTGTTGTTACTTTGCTTTGCAGTAGCTTAATAGAATCTTCTTCTTCTATCTGTGGCGTCTTTATTCATCATTGTCAAGTTGTTGGCCTTGGGATATGTCTTGCATACATAGAAGAGAGCTTAAAACGGAGTGATGGAAGATGTTGAATTGGTGTTTGTATGATATGGATGGTGTGGGGACATTTCATGTGTGCATTTATCTTCATGAACTTCAGAAGCCTCGTTTTGCATGTATGATTCTGTGCAAGCCAAGATGCAGCCCTCACTTGACTGTTTAATCAGTTGAGTAATTTAAGCACCAAAGGTGTTTTAGGCATTTTTGTTAATGGATGTTATATTGTTCGTAAGAATATTTCCACTCTTGGCATCATGTTGTTGTATATGTTCTTCCTATAGTGTATTCAAAGTTTAAATTTGATGTGTTATGTGCTTTTATTTGTCCAAATATCATACCTGCCCCTTCATTTGGTCACTTCCCTTCTTTGCTTGATCCTTGAAAATGATTGCCTTGAAAATAAACTCTTCTATGGGATTTAGTGGTGGTCCGTAACTGAAGTTAGGATGATTTTTCACATAGGTTGGCATGCTGTGTAGAACCTTGTCTGATTTTGGGTCATGGGATTCAAAATTTTTAAAGTATGGTTCGGACCCGTATATCTCTATCCGCAATACCAATTTACTGTAGTAAAGATGACTAGCTAACTCAGGTGGAGCTGTGCAGGAATCTAACTAAACTTTGGGAAGCTTTAGATGAGCCCAAGATTGAGCTCAAGTTAACCTTTATATATTTCATAATAAACATTTGTGCCTTTTGGTTTGCATTTTTTTCCTGTGGGAATTTTCACAAACAATTGCACTACTATGGCATAGAATGTCATCTGCCTACCTTTCTCTATAATTTGGTTCAGTTATCCTCTTTGATCTTTATTGCTCAAATGAATTTTTTAATTATTCTCATTAGTGGCGCAACTTTCCATTTTCTTAGATTTTGTTAATTGCCTTTAGCACAATTACGTCTGAGGAGAAACAAAATTCCAGCCTTCTGATAATTGCATTCAAGAAAATACATTTGTGTTGCTTATTTTGTGGTGTTGTGGAGTCAAAGAAACTTTTGCCTTTGTCAGCCTTGCAGGAGCCTGCCACTTGGACAGGAAGATGGAGCTAAGTACCATCAAAGATGCATTTGAGTGTGTCGTTAAGAAGCAAAAGCTATGTTGTTCTAAATCCCAAGACGTAATCTACCAAGTTGGTCATGAAATTGAACAGACACTGACAGAAATCCTTTCAGCTCATGATCCCACTTCTCCTGTTGATTATAGATCTGTCCTTGCAGACCTTAAAGTCAAGCTCAATGGAATTGGCCCAATCCCCCAGTTAGAAGGGTCACATAAGGAACTAGTTGTAAGCCTTAGCAAGTACACTAAACTCCTTGAAAGGTCTTTGAATTCCGACATATCAAAAGCATACAGATATGTTGATTTTGACCATCATATTGTGAATCAGATGATTGCGAATCATTTTTATCGGGAAGGTTCATTTAATCTGGGAGATGGCATAATAGATGAGGCTGGAGAACCAGAATCAACCATTTTAAAATCTCAGTTCATGGAATTGCATCAGATAGTTGAGGCTATGAAGGTTAAGAACCTTGAGCCTGCTCTGAACTGGGTCTCGGCTAACCGTGAGAAGCTGAATCAAATTGGTTCGAATCTCGAGGTTAAACTTCATAGTTTGCAGTTTCTGGAGATTTTACAAAAGGGAAATCTAGCCAGTGCACTTCAGTATGCCAGGACTTGCCTTTCTCCTTTTGCTTCCCCTCCCTCCCCTCACAAGGATGAGGTCGTGAAGCTCATGGGTTGCCTGATATATGCTGGAAGGCTGGACAGCTCCCCATATTCTGAGATTACATCCCCAACCCATTGGGAGAAATCGATGGAGGATCTTACACGGCAGTTCTGCAGCCTCTTGGGGCAGTCTTATAATAGCCCGTTGAGTATGACAATGGCTGCTGGTTTTGAGGGGTTGCCGACTCTCTTAAAGCTGGCAAATGTAATGGCTGCAAGGAAGCAGGAGTGGCAGGCAATGAAACAATTGCCAGTACCTTTGGACTTGGGAAAGGAATTTCAGTTCCATTCAATATTTGTTTGTCCTGTGAGTAGAGATCAAGGCAGCCAAGAGAATCCACCTATGTTGATGCCGTGTTTGCATGTACTCTGCAAGCAGTCGATCTTGAAGCTGTCAAAAAGCGGCACGCGTACATTTAAATGCCCATACTGTCCGGCGGAGGCTTCAGTTGCTCAGTGCAGACAGCTATATTTCTGAATGGTATTTGATGGTCCTCTGCAAGAAGAGATGTATGGTAAGATGTACGGGGAAATAGCATCCATGTGGGTTATCAGTTTGTATATAGAAATTCCTTCTGGACTCGTTTGATTCTTGATGTTGGATTAATGTGCATAAAAGTGTCGAACTTGCCTCTTTATGTGTTGGAATGTGATGCGATACAAAGTTTCTGTTTGAAAGTTTGAAACCACCCTAGAAAATGAACATTGCCTCTCTCATCAAGGAATTGCAACGTGTAGATTGCGTGTTTGAAGAACAAACCAAAAGTTGAGTTTGTACGGCCTCAATTCTAATTGTAAATGATGGCAAGTAGAAGGTGAAGTAGTGAACCTAGTGGTGCGTGTTTTTTTTTTTTTTGAAAGGAGACCAACTGGTAGTTTTATCACTATATGATAGAAGTTATTTCAGTGAGTAGTGCAAGGTGGTGGAATTTTGTGATTTAGAATTAAAAGAATATTAAAACCTCTTTCTTTTGTCTCCCTTTTCTCTCTCTCAAACTCTTTGTGTGAAAGTGAAACACTAACCCAGAAAACTTTCGCCGCCTGCCCTAGCCTTTGGCTTAGGTGCTGGAGGCATCTACACCTCCTCCTTTCTTCTTTTCCTATCTCTTCTTTCTTTCCCCCTCCCCCACCCCCACCCCCCCCCTGCCCGGAACTTTTCTCAGTTTCTCTCTCATTTGCCCTCTCCCTCTTTTCCTCCTCTCTCATCTCCTCTGTTCATTCCCTTTCCCCACATCCCTGATCCTCTTCCTTCCACTTTTCCAGTTTTCTTCCTTCCTTTTTAATTATTGGTTCTCCCTTGAGTTTAACCTTAGTTTTTCTTGAGACGAGTCTCAACTATTTCGGGCTTCATACCACTTATCCAGTGTTTTTCGCGAGAATTTATCAAATATAGCAAAAAATTAACCCTTAATTTCAAAAATGTTAGTTTTTATAAAAACTTTCATATATTTTCAAAATCTCACTTAAATAGAACTACCCTCAATTTATATAAATAACTAATTGTTAGACTTAAAACTTCTTGTGCTATAATCTCTAACTAAAACTTTCTCTTTTTTTCTTCTTTTCTTTTCCAAACGAAGAGCAAAAGTTTTCTCTCAATTTTATTTTAATAAATAATCAAGGAAACCTTTCTTTCTCACATGGTTCACAGAAAACACTTGTATGTTATAAAGTGAACTATTAGAGTAAAGAAATAAAAGTAATTATCTTTTAATTGTCGGAAATGTAAAGAATTATACGTACAACCAAAATAAACAATAAAATGATCAAAGGAAAATATTTATTCGTTGCACCCCAATTTCTTGGCCCAAACAATAAAATGATAGAAAGAAAATTGTATTCAAAAAACTTCAATTTAAAAGGGTTCTACAAAGTAGGATGTAGTTGAACAGGATTCCTGCAAGTTTGTTTCTAATGGCCATTTGAACCACATTTTGAACACTTTCGAGTTGATTATTCTACTCCATGTGATGAGATCCTCTTTTCTTTGCACCTACCATATCTTCTTCGTGTAATTGATGGTAGGACAATTCTTTCACACACATCATCAGTTACTATCCAATCAGTTTGATCACCAACTAGCCATATAACTTCGGCATAGGCAATGACCAAGGAGTTTGTAGTATAATAATGAGAACACATAGGATAACATGAAAGTTGTCGGTGTCTACATGCAGCACAAGCATGTGAGCAAGGGAGTTTGGTCAAGATCAAATTGTCGGCATGTGCAATTATTTTCCTCTAAATTCACAACTTCAATACGAGATCCATTGTATACATGAAATGAGTATGTTGCAATGGGCGATACCTACATGTTCACATACATATATATTACTCAAACAAAAGAAGAACTAAACAACCAAAAAAAATATTCCGAACCAAATCACCTTGAGTAACAAAGTTAAGACCTGCTTGTAATGGGTCATCATTATCTTCGAAGAAAATACTTTCTGCTTTAATGTAACACACAAGGGAATCTTTCAAGACCTCGAAGGGTTTTCAAAAATAAATGCCCTCACATCATCATCATCAACTATATCTACAGGCCATGTAGTTTCCATTGCGTTATATATGACTTTCATACTTATCTCATACTCATTTGGGTCCACATTCACAATACCATGTACTTTCTTCTGAAGCTCCACAAATGTAATTTTGTCTGAAACAAGTAACCCTTTCGTTTTGTAGTTTTTGTACAGTTGAGTCAGCCCACCTCCCACCATAGTTGACACACCCCGACCGAAATCAAGGCGTGCTGGCCAGTCACGTGAGAGTGACGTAGCCATGTGCACAGTGCGGAAGTATAATTAATAAAACAATTACGAATAAATAAAAACCAAACTACTAAATAAACTAGTTAAAGTAATACGCTAGTGTAAGGCTAAGTGTGATAAACATAATAAGAGCACAAAAAGCCTAAGTGCAGTCTAGTAGGACGAATACTAATTACACAACACCCAAAGATGATCCTACATTTGTGATGTTCTGTCAGAACCACTGCCAAAGTCCTCGTGATCCACCAAAGCACTTCTACCTAAAACCTGAATGGGCGCAAAACAGAAAGTGTAAGTGGGCAAAAACAAAGTTTTTCAAAATCATTTCATTTCTCAAAAGTTCTAACCCCTCGCCATAACACCTGTATAATTTCTCAGAAAATAGAATATATGAATATATATATATATATATATATATATATATTCAACTGACACATCCCCGACCGAAATCAACGCGTGCTGGCCGTCACGTCTTGATTTCGGTCGAGGTGTGCCAGTTTGGTATCAGAGCACAAAAAGCCTAAGTGCAGTCTAGTAGGACGAATACTAATTACACAACACCCAAAGATGATCCTACATTTGTGTTGTTCTAGTCAGAACCATCGTCAAAGTCCTTGTGAGCCACCAAAGCGCTTCCACCTAAAACCTGAAGGGGCGCAAAACAGAAAGTAGTGAGTAGTGCAAAAACAAAGCTTTTCAAAGTCACTTTATTTCTCAAAAGTTCTAACCCCTCGCCTAGGACCGAATCATGAGAAAGGTTGGGCGTTAATATATACAGCGTTAATATCTACGCAAAACATCATGCATTTCAGCAATGGAAGACGAACCTTGTTGATTAAGGTGCTATTCTAGAAGTACTTCCAATTACTTTTACGCATTGAAAAAAATTAAATTAATATTGCTTACCAAACCAACATAAGATGAATAAAAACACAGAAAGAAAAACTTTATTCCGTAAACTCTAATTTTTCAAATATGCACTGAAGAACTATTAGCACTACCTCTAATTGATTGGCAAATGTTATTAAATTTGTCAATCTTCCATTGACATAAAAAACCTAATTTTTCTAATATGCACTAAAGAATTTCTATTTCGTAAACTTTACAAAAATTGACAGTTCGTTCTTCAATAAAAGTCAACCAAAGGAAGAAACTACAAAAGCAAAGAGAAAACATAGACTAGGAGGAATGAAAAAATTAACCATCTACACTCACCTTTATACGTTTAGGGTTGCACAAAGTCTCCACAGTAGCTGATGCCTTCACTATCTCTCCACCATTTTTTAGGTTTTGCCGTCCAAAATATCAATCTAATAGGGTTTTGGTTTTTTTAATTTATTTGGTTTAAAGTTTAAGGGAATTTGTGTCTATGTAAGTGATATTTTGTATATATTTGAAAGTTTTTATAAAAACTAACATTTTTGAAATTGAGGGCTAATATTTGGCTATATTTGATAAATACTCATTTTTCGCCTGCTTTTACTGTTTTTTGTCTTTTTAAATTTTCCTTCCTCCCACTTACTTAGCCGTGATATTCTATCCCCACCCCACCATGTGCTCCGATCGATGGGTTTCAATCAGAAATTGAATCTCATATCCACTTCTCTCCCTTACTCCACCTCCCCCAACCAACATATTGGATTTCCATTGAGGTCAAGTGTTATGTGGCTTTAACCACATTAAGGGTATTCTACACACCCCTTTAGCTCACTTTCTACCCATAAGATACCTTCTTTGTATATATTTGCAAGGATTCGGGAAGGGGACTTGGTGATGTCTACCTTCTCAGTTTAGAGTTTGGCTTCCTCCGTAGATGTGGCGGCGGCGATCTGGTTTATGCTGCTTGAGATTAAGATTTTTGTTGAAAATTCTCAACTTGAGAATTTTTCCAATTCCACATATATAAGCAAATTAAACACCCTTTGGAAATCCCACAAAGTTTTTCTGTCGTGTCGGGCTTCTCCAATGGCTTGATTTTCGTTAAAAACAAACATGAGGAGATTGATTTGTGGAATCCGTCAATTCAAAGGTGGAAGACGATTCCTTACCCAACATCCATTGATTGGATTCCGCCGGGTTTATGCAAGACCCTCTTCTACGGACTCTGGTATGATTCAACTCATGATGACTATAAAGTTTTAGCAATTGTGAAGCTTGCGCATACGATGGAGATAAGGGAGGAGGAGATAGTAGCAGGTAGTGTATCTGTGTGTTATCAAGTCTTTGTATATAGCCCAACTCATGGAAAAGGATCCCAACCTTGCCTTGCAGCAGTTCTGCTTGTCACCTTGTTGGTTTAATCGTGTCTTTGGAGGATGTTCTAGCTTGGCTCATGCATAACAAATCGGATAGAAATCCCTTCAAAATTCTAACCCTTAATCTTTCCAGCCACAAGTACGAGGAGTTTCTCCCACCACCTGTCAACGGGGGTGGCCCGTTTATACACCTCCGTTTGGAGGTCTTGGGAGGATCTCTTTGTTTTTCCGCAGTTTGCTTATACACCCTGAAGTGATGTTTGGATTATGAAAGAATGTGGAGGGACAAAATCATGGACCCTGCTTTATTCTATTCAGGAGGCAGCTTTGTCTTGGAGAATCTGTAGCTGCAAACCTTTGGTGTTTTCAAAGGATGGTGATATGGTTCTTGTGTCGTAACACTCTACAGACTACTATAGCCTTTTTTTGGGTATAGTTTAGAGACAAAGAGTGTCCAACATGTTGAATAGAGGAGAAGAGAGAGAAGAATAAAAAAAGAGACAGATTCAATGTGAGAATGGAGAGTAGAGAGAAAAGAAAGAACTAAAATCTCTAAGCATTTACTTTTGGTGTTCTCTAAAAATTCACTTTTAGTGTTCTAAAAAATAGGGTATTTTCTTAAGTTAGTCTTGAGTTCAGTTTTTAAAAATAGTCATATCAATTAAGTTTTCAAGGTCTAAAACTTGAAAAGTGTTTTTAAGTTAAAAAGTTGAATTCATGTAGAGTACCAAATAGGCTCCAAATTTTTTGGACTATAAATTTAGGGTTTGTTTGGTATTCTATTTGAAAAATTTTATAATTTCTCAAAAAAGTTCTTAAGAATTTTTCTTAAAAACAATTTTCTTTAAGATTCAAAAACTTGTTTGGTACGATTTAAAATTTTTAAATCTTACAACTTAAACTAGACAAAAAAAATCCAAAAAGAGGGGGTCGAGAGAGAAGGAAAGAAAGTTTGAGATGATTGGAGGAAATAGAAATAAGTGAGAGGATCAGAGAAAATAGAGAGGAAGAGGAGTGAGACAAAAAACCAAGAGAATGAATAGAGCGGATTGAAGGAGAGAAGAAAAAAGTAAAAATAAAAAATAAAAAGAGAAGGGGGAGAAAAGAAGAAAAGAAAGAGATCGATTTGGAGTGAGATGAGAGGAGGGAGAGAAAAGAAAGAAATGAATTTAAGTTAAGTTAAAAAAACTCTCAAAACTCATTTTTTGTATTTTTAGATAATAGACTATATTTTTTAATTAGTCTTAAATTCAGTTTTTGAAAATAGTCCTACCAAACAAATTTTTAAGACTTAAAACTTGAAAATTGTTATTGAATTTAAAAAGTTGAATTTAAGTAGAGTACTAAACAGACTTAGGTTTTAACCCTACCATTCATATAGTACCAAATAGGCTCTTAATTTTCTGGACTAAAATTTAGAACCCTACCATTGGATGTAGTGTTGAAGTTTTATGGTGGTTGAAGAAGAACGAAGCTAATGTGAAGGCTGATAAATCCCACTTTTATCTCATCCTTCCTCTTCCCTCCATCAAAATTGAATTTCAATCGAATTCTCTGTCATCATTCTCCTCCCTCTCCTCTCCTCCTTCCATCAAAATAATTACAACCATTGCTTTCTCAATTGAAATGAATTCTCAACAAGAATACACAAACCACCCCACAATAACAAAAACAAAATTATGGCTCTTGCTGTTTCCTTTTTATTCAATATATTCCAATTTTTGGAATTTCGAAGAAAATCAAATGACATTTCAAGATTTCAATTTTGGGTTTTGAGCGGCAATGGATTATAAAGGTAAAGGAGTCATGACAGAAGAGGAATATCAAGAAACTACATTCAGATGTAGGAGAATCTGGTGTCAAAGGATTCGTTCTGGTGAAATTATCTTACGCAGCACCATTAGGATCGCTGCCAGCTCAACTGTTTATTCCAGATGGGCAAGAATTTACGATCGGAAAAGTTAATGGTTGTGACATTTTATTGGACTTCACGAAGTCTCCCAGTAACTCGTAGGACTCTACACTCCTGCGTATCTTCTCGGAAGATGCTCTTGGCTGGAGGAAAGAAGACCCACGTCTTAAACCGTTTAGCTAAGCTCGGACATACAATGGAGCTTTGAGACGGAGACATTTTGATTGGGGATCCGACAAAGTTTATGTGTTACACCTACAATGAATGTCACCCACTGAGGCAACCACCAAACCATCTCAGAGCTCCATTATAAGTGTAGCACCTAAAACTTTGTCGGATCATGAATGCTGAATTCTTCTTCATCTCGGAGCTCCTCGATATCTCTGATACTCATAGCATTTTCCGTGTAGATGGATAGGAGTGTGAGTCCCACGAGTAATCGCGAAGTCCAAGATAATGTCACAACCACTAACGTTTGTAATCTTAAATTCCTACCCATCTCGGATAGACCCTTGAGTCGGCGATGAGCTGATGGTGTCACATCAGATCCTTTCACCAGAACGAATCTTTTGACATCAACTCCTCCTCCTTCCTGCAATATGATCACCAAAATGATAGTTTCTTGACATTCCTCCTTCGGCATAACTCATTACCCTATAATCCATTGCCACTCAAAACCCAAAGCAGAAATCTTGAAATGTAAGTTGATTTCTTCGAAAATGTCACTCAAAACCCAAAATTGAAATCTTGAAATGTCATTGATTTCTTTGAAATTCCAGAAATTAGAATATATTGAAGAAACAAAAATCTTAATTTTATTTTGGTTATAGTGGGGTTGGCTTGTGTATTTTTGTTGAAAATTAAATTTCAGTGGAGAGAGGAGAGGGAGGACAGAGATTTTGATGGAGGTAGGAGAGGTAGGAGAGGGAGGAAAGAGATTTTGGTGAACATAGGAGAGGAGAGGAGGAGAAGGACGACAGAGAATTCAATTTAAGATTCAATTTCGATGGAGGGAAGAGAGGGGAGGAGATAAAAGTGGGATTCGATTGAAACGTTAATCTTGCAGTCAAGAGCATCTTCCGCAAAGATGGACAGCAACGTAAAGTACCACAAGTTATGGGGGAGACTTCGGGAAGTCCAATAAAATGTCACAATCCAATCACAAAGATATGATTGATGTCCTCATCTATATCAATACAGGAAACCTGTTTTGACTATCAATGGCTTCATGTTTTAAGGGAATTTTATGTGTCATCTATGCCTAATTTGTCTTGTCACTTTTGCACCTTTTATCTCGTGTATGCTCTTTGTCACTTGTTCATCATTCCTTCGCTTTTATTTTTCTGCAGAACCTAGCAGAGGAAATTGTTTTGGCCAATGCTTCTAAAGGAAAGTCTAAAAGCCTTAGGTGGACTCGGTATTCTTTCTCTTGGTGGAAAATTCCTTCTTAGACGAGTTTTCGAGGTGTGCATGGAAAACAGAACGGGTTTAAACTCCTTTTGTATGTTTTATTTCTGGCCACTAAAATCTCTGAGGCTTTTGTCACACTTCTCAGTTCTCACCCAAAAGTTGGGTTTCAGTGATACAGTTTGATATCCCTTCTCATAGATGGAGCATTTTTGAGAGTAATACGTCCTCTTTCTATGTAACAGTTGATTTTCACTGTATATGCAGCTTGAAGCATTTTTTACTGGAGCACTGTTAGCGGAAACAAATTCCCGGACGCAGATTGAAGCTGTTAGCCGGTACTGAAGTTCTTTTAGTTTCACACTTCAATTAGTGTTTCTGGTTTCGAGCTTGTGTCACTGAACTTTGCATTTGTGAAAAGCAATTTTGGGAAACTTGATAGAATACAGCTACTGGTGAGCCAAGCACCAAATGGTCCCTAATGCATTTATGTATGAAAACAGGTAACTTAGTTATGCCTATGCATTTTATTCCTTTCACTCTTGGCTGGTTTTATTGTAATGAACACTGATAATAACAGCGATAGGCCGCCGTGTTGGACTCGCTTTACATAAAGTGTAAGAGTGGGATTGCTTCTATCACAAGGAGGAGGTTCTCTACTGTTTAAACAACTTCCCGCCTTGTCGAAACAGGCTTGGAGTGATGCTTTTTTATTTTTGATCCTCCTCCCGACAATTCCTGACTTCGCCACTGAAGGTATGGTAAGATATTTGGGGAAATTGCATCCATGTGGGTTATCAGTTTGTATATAGAAAATCATTCCGGACTAGTTATCAAATGAAGATTGCCTACTCTCATCAAATTTCATATGTTTTTCCAATTTTGATGTTTCATGCTCCCCAAAGAAATTCTCATTTATGTGGATTTACAATGCTATTTGAACTTTGATAACGAAAAACCATGTTTCTGGATAACAAATTAAAATGAATGACTGATGAAACTGAAATCCAAAACAAAAGTGAAAAATGAAAAGTGATGGATGGATGGATCTATTTGTCGTCGTCAGAGAAGCCCATCATTCTCTTGAAACCAGGAAACAAAACAGAAACAGCAGAAGAAGAAGACGATTTCGAGTTCGCAGGTTTAGGGTTTTGTTCCTGGACATGTTCCTCCACCAACTGCTTTACGGACTTTGCAGACAGCGGGTGGAAATTGACACCCCACTCCAAAACAAACCCTTTCACCAAAACCATCTTCTCCTCCTCCTCCAACTTCCCCCATTTCTTCTTCACCTCCTCCGAATTCGAACCCACGAATTGGCAGAGCTCCGCGAAGAGGAGCTGCCTGCTCTTGTTCATGGCCTCCTCCCTCTGCGCCAAGAGACTGTTCATCTTGGACAAATCCGACGCAAGCTCCACGTCACTCATCACGTCATGGTTGCTGCCTGCTGCTGCTGCCGCCGCCGCTGGTGCAGAGGATTGTTCGGGTTTTGGGTCTTGTGGCGGTGCTGAGATGGGATTTGGATATGGAGGGGAAGGGATTGGTGTGCAGTTTCGGAGGTTGGTGGGGGAATTTTGGGGAAAGGAGATGGATTCTCAATGCCATTTTCAGAGGAGTTTAGGTTGTTTGATGTCTTTAAGGTTGAGAACTCGGAAGAAGGAAAGGAACCAGGAAGTAGTACGGCTAATGAGATGCTGTTGCAGATTACTGATTTGGGTCTAATACCTGAGTTTTTGGGCCACAGCCCAGATGCTAACATCATTTGTGGCCCTTGCCCTGTTATATTATATGACGTCCAATCCAAAAAGTTGATAATATCCGCGATACAATCGATATTTTGTAGAACACATGACAAGAAATGTAAGAATAAACGCTCTCGAGTGATAAAACATACATACAAACACAAGTATACTTTTACAATATCATTTCGCTATGCCAGCTACTGTTTAATTTAAGTGTACAGAGTTCAAGTACGCATACAACAGCCTGTAACATATGAATTGATTTGCATTTCTTTAGAAAGCAAGCATTTAAGCAGCAAAGAGTTTGAATTACAAACATAAACCCGATCCTGAATGCTTGATAATTCTGTTTTAACCTAAAGGATCGAGAAAACCATGATCTATCCAGGATCTACCTTCTCTGACTCCGGAAATAATTTCAATGAAAAATGAAGAAATATGATGCCTCTCACTTGTTACAATTTTTTTCTTCGCGGTCTGGTTTTGTTACAGTTTCAGTGGAATCTGTACCGTGCCATTCTCCTTCACAACAGAAGGAACAGAAAGCCGCCATCCTCCATAAAAAAAGATGTCAACAAATTTCCAATTAAACTTGTGCCGTGATTGTATGCAGCCAATGCCCCACTTTATCTCGGCCTACTTTGTGTTACAAAAGAATCAGTTGATTCTGCTCAACCCGGCTTCCACAGAAAGTCATCCCTGTATGCAATTTCCAGTCTAGGTGTACCAACTGTTGTTCATCATCCCAACTCCAACCCAACATGGATCAGCTCTGATAATATGTCAACCCACGTGTCCGGTACACCAGGTAAGCACCAGTGCATGCAGTCCTGGCCCCAGACTGAAACGGCATCCTTCTGTCCCAACCAAATCGCTGGATGGGCATCTGCTCTGAATTCACTCAGTTGAGTCAGGTCAAGCAGTTGAATATCGGTTCCTTGTAATGCACCTTCAATCAGACGATTCAGCAGTCTTTCTTCTTTGTTTGGTCCATTGTTGCTGGGGTCAAACCACAAGTCAAGCTGTTGAGGCATTACTATGAGCTTATCAAGAAAACACTCTAAACAAAAATCAAAGGAAGGAAAAAAAAATGGAAGTACAAGATCTGGTTTCATTTTCAAGCCATTGTTTGATTATGAATTGTTGGTGACATGTTCCAAAAAATATCAAATTCAAAAGAAAATCACAAAATTTTACGGTTTTGTTTCACAATGGACAGGTGTATAAAACCATGGTCAGTGGTATAAGGGTAGCCACAATGAATTCATACCTGCTGCTCCGCAAGCGGCTTATTGAACAAGCAGCTGCCGTTCTGATTCCAATCACCTCCATAAAAATGCCTTGGAGATTGTAAACGCCATATCTTGAGTGTCTTGTGAGGAACTTTGTTTTGTATGTATGGTACCATATTCTCAAGAACAACTTTAAATCCATCTAATATATCAAGGGGAGGTAGTATTGGTTTGCCCGCACAATAAAAAGTGAGAGAACTCTCTTTTGGAAATTTATCAGAATTCCACCTAGTTAAGCACAGATTCTTCAGATGCTGTTTTATGCAGAATAAGAACTGATAACAGAGGCCAGACATGTAAACAAAAACTAATGAGGTGCTAGCTCAAAGTAACAAACTCAACAGGAGATTTGAGTGTAGCACAAGTGTGTTCAATATCAAATGAATCCTAATTTTAGGGCCACCGACCCTTTTAACCCATATGAAGTCCTTTTCGGGAGATAGAGGAAATGCTTCCCGCATACACCAATTAGGATTACTGTAGGATACTTGTAAAGCGAGCTTTCTGATATTCTTTTTTTAAAAAGTTTTTCAATTACTTGAAGTTATTTATGTTCCTTTCAAAAACCAGACTGTAACCTCTCTTTCTGTGTGAGTGTGTGTGTGTGTATTTTATAAATAAATAAATTCTTTTTTATCTCTATGTCCACTACCTTTTCCTGGCATTCATTAATCAATTTAATCTCATTGATGATTAGGGTTAGAATGGGCCATTTCATCAATCAAATAGACTACTGAAGAGGACCATACAATATACGATGCTACAGAAACTACAATATACGATGCTTTAAAAAAGATATCAATAAATAAATCAATTCGTTAATCAACAGATTTGGTGAATTATCAGAAGGAGAAGGGTATTACCAGTGCCCTGTATTGAAAACTAGGACATCATAAAAATCAGCAATGTTGGCCCAATCATTGGCAGGAATATCAACATCTACTCGATAAGTTCCTTTCAATCCATCTTCATCCCCACCCACAGTCTGTTTTGGTTGCCACCTTGATTCAATCAGCTATGAGCATGTGAGGTTTCCATTTTCATAACTCGTTTACACGAAAAATGAAACTCAGAAAAAAAGACAGTAAACAGTATTCCAGATTAAAATTCCAGTTTAGGGAAATACTAAAACCACCACCGGTCCCCCGTAAAACTCAAGGAAACCCAATACCGAAATGCATAAGCAAGAATAAATCAAAGTTTCCCATGACTTCATTCAAGTCGATCTACATATGTCTAGCATTCATTTCGACATACAAAATTAAGAAGCTCAAGGTTAGATCCAGAAACTTCCTAATGTCAGTGCCAACGAAAGCCCGAATATGCTTAATCTAACAGAGAGTTGCATTCTTTTAACAGAATAGACCAAACATCAAATTGGTTTACAACAACAAATTCACAATCCAATCAAAGACCACAATCCTAGATAGTTAAAAAGGTCAATGCAAGGCGCAACGCATGTTCATAAATCAAACAAAATAGCAAAAACTAACAATCCCATGAAATTAGTTGATACAAAAATAGGATATCTTACTCATATTTAGCGAGCAACACTGCCCGATGATACCCCACCGTAACGTTGAACTTGGGAAAATACGCTCCTCTCCAAGCACCCTTCCTCTTCCACTTCTTAGCACCCGCATCAGCCACTCTCAGAATGCACAAAAACGACACCAAAAAATTCTCATTCAGCGAGTCGCCGACGAACCCAATATTCCTGTTCCTCATCCGACCCAGAAACCGTGCCGGGTCGATCCGATGCAAGACGCAACCTTGAGGGACCCATTTCCAAGAATTGATGATTCCCATGTTGTCCCTCTTGTTCCTGACGCAGTTCCAGGAGTTTCTGTGAAATGGGCAGGTCTCATCGTACATGGGTCTGCGGTTGGGGTCTTGGACCCAATGACCTTTGAAGAAATTGCAGAAGGGTAAAGTGGGGAACTTGTTGGATGAGGGGTTGGTGGAGAGGGTGGGTGGAAGGGGAGGAGTGAGGAGTAGAGGAAGAGGAGGAAGAGGGTCAGTATAATAAGCCATGGGAAGAGGGGAGAGAGGAGCTTGGGTGCCATTGTTAGAAGCATCTGTCATCTGTTGCTATTTTTGAGAAAAAAGAGGTACACCAATGGCTTTTCAGTCTTTGCAAAAACCGGCCGAAGGTGCTTTTCTATTGAATTCAGCCCTCTTCTTCCTTTTTAAGCAAATTGCAAGCAACCCCTTGACCAAGATCATTTAACTCTTAGCCCCGTTTGGAATTTTATTTTTCATCCAACGTTTTTTAATTTTAAATTTAAGCAATAAAAGCATTTGGTAAAGTAAAATTACTTGCTTATTTTAAAAGAAATAACCTTCAGATAATTGCTTTTAAAAAGATCTTATAAGTTGCTTTTAAAAAATACTTTCATAAAAACTGGAGTAGAGCCTCTATGAATTTTTTCTATATTTATGATACTATGAAATTTGTGCAACCAAATATATAGACAATACACCTGAGATTAGCCGTTTCAATGGGATCTTTTATTCTGGTATTGGTTTTTGGACTTTTGACATTCTTTTCACAAGTTCTCTACTTCTTTTTGGTACGCACCAAAAAATTTTGGCTTATAAAAAAAAACATGTCATATTCGTCTCAAAAACTTATGGTGTACTACATTAGGCTCACTAATATGAAGTTTAACTAATTGCAAGCTTTGAGATTCTAAACAGTCTATCCTGTTCTTAAAAAATAGAGTTGAAATGTCTGAAATAATCTTGTAGGGGTTTGGGGAGTTAGAAAGCCCGAAATAACCTTGAAGCCAATTTATGTGCAAAGTACATGGTTTATTTGGATAAAAAACTTAACGTAGTTAGGATAAGATGACAAATTAATGATTTTGGAAAGTTAATAACAAATATCTTAAAATTTTATTCTATATAACAATTTAAAAAAGGTGTATTATTTCATATAACATTTAATTTTCCATAGATTTATCAAATGTTTAACGTTTTTAAAAATTTAAATTCTTTTATAATTTTGGCCCACAAGGCTTACAATGCAACCTAATTGAGTCTTACTCATGTCATCTTTTGACCACAGTAATATTAAGTAAGCCAAATTTTTAAATTAATTTAGCAAATGAACACGTTAAGTGATATTCCGATAAATAACAATAACATCATGTGATTTAAAAATATCGTCTACCTTGCATTATTCTTTTGACAAATTTGTTTATGGACGTGAACTATATGGGCAAAATGGAATTAAATTTAAGTTTCAGGATTTCCAATCGCACAATTTATGTTTCATGGAGAAAGTGAGATTGACTTTGACGTTGAGAATGTCTTTGAGTTTCACGAGGGGTTGAAAAAAAAAGGAGGCTCCTGTTTTACAGTTTACAATCTACAAGAGAGATGAAACCGTGTCCAAAAGTTAAAGAAAAAATTGGGAGGTACAGACAGACTGTCGGTCTCTCAAGTGGAGACTGGAAAGCAGGATTCTGAATCCCACTCTTACAGATATCACCATCACTGCTCCTCCTCTTTAACATTCCTATCACCATCCTTCTGCCGTTTGCTTATCTTCACTGTCTGTCCCTGCCCTGGTAAACTCTCCCATCTCCAAACTATTCTCATATTCATAGCATATATTTTCAATTCTTAACTTGCAATTTGTTTTTGGTGAATTCTTTAACATGGGCTTGTTTTAATTTCCCAGATTACTTTATGATTTGGATAATAGTATCTTAGATGGTGGTTTGGTATCTTTGATTTATGAATTTGGATGGTAAGATCCTGGCTTTATTAGAATTACATCGTCAAAATCTCCAATCCAAACTGCATGAATGATTTTGGTTTTGGATCATCTCATTGGGGAATGGTGATCTGTCCCCAAACTTTTTTGGCCTGAAGTAACTGGGTTGGCGTTGAACTGTTAAATTTGCTTTCTTTTTTCTTTTTTCTGGTTGAAATCCACTGCTCGCGATTATTTAAGAAAGTGAGAGATAGTGATTGCTGTTGGTTTTTCCAGAGATTCATTCTCATTTGTTTTATGTTCAATTGTTTTTAACCCAATTTATAGTTTTTCGAGTGCTCAATGTGAGAGCCAAGGCTTGTAAGGTTGATAGTAAGTGGAGACAAAATCACTATAGAGGCAGACAAAATTACAATTTTGAAGTTTTCGCATAAAATCTGTGTATGACAGTGGACTGAGTTCTCAATGATAGTTTATGATTTGCACTTTCAATGGTGATAGCACCCGATGCTGAACAGTGTACAGTACTAGTTCATGACATTTGATAAAATGCACTTTGGTTGGTGCTACTACCTGATTCTTGACAATACACTGTTCTATAGCACTTCACTTCCATAACTCCGCATGTACTGTGACAGGCTTCTGTTGTAGGTAATTTACTCCTAGGAAGAATATGTCCTAGTAACTACAATTTTTTTCCCCAAAGTCTTCACTAGTGTATCAATCGAAAACCGATGAATTTGAAAAGAGTTAATAGTTCTTGGAGATTTGGGTTCTGCAACAAATAATGATTTTGAAACAGTAACATGCCATGTTATTAAAATTTTTACTGTAATGGCTGATTGTAAGATCTATGAAATTTGTGGTCAAACTTCTCATGGGCTAAAGCTACAAACGCACATGAATCTCTTCTTTAACATGTGATTTTTATCATTGCCAAGCTTCAAATTCTCAAGCTACAGCTATATACTTATGCCTATAATTTTCACCAAATACTGGATTGAAGTCCTTATTTTGATTGTACTCTCATTCTATGGTTAAGCTGCATATATGGAGAATGGTTCAGGTCCAAGTTTGTTTCCGCTGCACCGAAGCAAAACCCTTCACCTGGTTGGTACCGACTTTGATTTTGGATTTGCATACAGTTTGTTGTAGATTTGAAGCCGTACTTTTCTTTGGTTTGAGGTTTTGAGAGTGAATCCCACATTGATGGGAGGAGGGGCCTTGCATGGGCTTATAAGTAAGTTGGGCTACTCCCCATATTGCCAATTGGTTTTATGGTGGAACCTCAACTTTCTTCGTTAGGGCATTCAAGATTGTCTTCCTTCTGGTCTTTTTGTCTCACAAAATCATTGCATTGTGGTCTTACAAATCCATTCATCCAGGTGAGGCATGGACAAGGAATCCACAATGTAGAGGGAGCTAAGAACTACAAAGCATACATGAAACCTGAATATTTTGATGCACAACTTACTCCACTAGGCTGGCAGCAGGTGGGAAGAAAATCATGGACTTTTTCTTCTACAGATGCTATGTTACGAAAACTTAGAGAACTACAAAACCTGTAACGATATTTTCCTACTACAAACAACAGACATTGTCATCAAAGATAATTTTATGAATTGTTTTGTTGCTATGGTCGCAGGTTGATAATTTGCGTAAGCATGTTCATGAATGTGGGCTTTCCAAGAGGATTGAGTTGGTCATCACATCTCCTTTGCTAAGGTACTTATGCCATAGTTGTGGAATCTAGCCTACCTCTGTCTTTTTGTTTCCTGGATATTTTGTGGAAATATTTTCAGCTTGAAAGGTTGAGTGCAACAAACAAAATCATTGTAGAAAAGGATCCGTTTCGTGAATTTTCTCATGGAAGAAAAATTGAAAAACTGTAAAGGCGTAATCTGGTTAGTTGGACTAAGTTGTATGTATACAGGAGCTTGAGAGGAGAGATGAAACGAAAAGGTTGGGTTGTACTTGTATTCAAGAATCTTGGTCTTAACAGTAGTTTTTAGAGTCGAAAATATGGTAATTTGGGGGGTCATTTGGATATTAAACTGTAATTTCTTCTGTCAAGAGATTTTTGTTTATTAGGTTTTTGGTTAGCATATAGAAACAATTTCGAAGTTGTATAACATAACTATTTCTTTTCAGAGAAATTTTTGGCGTATGATTTCGGGACCTGGGTATTATATTCTTACTATGACATGAATAGACACTGGTAGTCAGTGACAGCAACTCCCAGAGTTCTTGGTACAAGATGACAAACAACAACAACAAGGCCTTTTCCCACTAAGTGGGGTCGGCTATATGAATCCTAGAACGCCATTGTGCTCGGTTCTGTGTCACGTCTTCCGTTAGATCCAAGTACTTTAAGTCTTTTCTTAGAGTCTCTTCCAAAGTCCTTCTAGGGCTTCCTCTACCCCTTTGGTACAAGATGACATAAGTATGAAAATAACTTCTTTTATTTATGATTAGGAATTCACAGATTAAATGATAACTAGTACTTAGGGTTGTAGAGGTTATCGCAAATGGAGCCTTTTCTTAGTTATTTTATGTTGAAAAGATGATATAATTTGAACCAAATCTTAAATTATCTTTTCTTCCAAGCTACTGAAAAGAAAAGAAATATATTACATTTGTTTCATTGTATTAAGCTTGGTTTTTCTGGAACTTTCTTTGTTAATGCAATAGCCAAGTTACAATTGATGAACTTGCTTAATCTGATCAGGAAGATTCTTCCTCCCTGGAGGAACATTTCCATTTTAGATTCTGTTATGCTGTAATTAAAGTTGATTTGACTGAATAGGACTCTGCAAACGGCTGTTGGAGTATTTGGAGGCGAGGGTTACAAGGATGGAATGGACGTACTGCCTCTAATGGTGGAAAATGCAGGAAATAGTGAACGCCCTGCAATTTCAAGTCTCAACTGCCCGCCAATCATTGCAGTAGAGCTTTGTCGAGAACATTTGGTATGTCTGTTAAGAACCAAAATGTTTTGACTTTTTGATGTTATTTTTTATTTGAACTGAACTTGAGTGAATCCTCAATTAAAAGGGCGAACCCAAGCCTACAAGGCTCCTTGCTTTGCGAGGGTTGGGGGAGGAACGTCTATCCTCAATTAAAAGGGTGAATCCTCAATTATTGCACATTATTAACCTAGTGGCTATCTCCAATATCTATGGAAGAAAGCTAAGTTTTCTTAGGCAGGTTTGTTTATTTGATTTGTCCCTTGATAGTTACATTGCTGTGATGTAGTGTGGGTTAACTTGGCTTGTCTTTGCCAAGTATTTTTTAATGTCATAATTTTTCTTATCAATTTGATTAGAATAGATGCCAGAAAAACTTTTTTAATTTATTTCTGTATGTTAAACTAGAAATTGTTAGAACTCATAGTGAACTTGGTTCTTAGTAGAGTTGGTGCGTAGTCTTGATGTTATATTGATGCTCAGAGCTTTAAATTTGTGTTGTAAATTTCTGGTTGCAGGGCGTTCATCCATGTGATAGCAGGAGGAATATCAGCGACTATCAGTTTCTATTTCCTGCTGTTAATTTTTCTCTGGCAAGTAGTTGGATAGATAACGATAACTGGGGGAGGAATTAGTGGTTATAAGTTACATTATGGTGCTTTTCATCTTTTGGTTGCTGTACATTTGGATGTTATAATATTTTTCAATATTTTGTTATCAATATGCGTATGCTTATAGTCTTTATATTTTACAGATAGAAACTGATGAGGATATATTGTGGGAGGCCGACGTGAGGGAGACGACAGAGGAAGTTGCAGCTAGGGGAATGAAATTCATGAACTGGTATCTTATCTTGTAACCATCAGAAGCAAGAAGCTCAGCATATGGAGCACATGCTCCGTTGGTGTTGCTATATTTTGACGCTTCCACAAAATTTTGAGTTTTGAAGTTTATCAGCCCATTTGAGGCTCATCCTCCATAAGATCGATACATTTTTTTTTACTTGTTTTCTTGTATCATCAAAGTTATATGGGTTTGAATTGATATGCGTTTGGTGCCTTCTTCTTGTCACTTCACAGGTTGTGGACAAGGAAAGAGAAAGAAATAGCGATTGTTACTCATAACGGGTTCCTGTTTCACACGCTAAATGCACTAGGAAATGATTGTCATCCTTCGATGAAAAAAGAAGTGTCCACACAGTAAGTGCACTCCATACAAGAATCACAAGCTTAGTAGATGTTTCAATACTACTAAAGTTAGGCACTTATTTTCACAATTATCATGCCAACATTCGTATTCTTTTATGACCTTGCAGCTTTGCAAATTGCGAACTTCGCTCCATGATCATTGTTGACAGAAGGTGAGTTTGTGATTTACGCAAGGGATTCCTTCTGTTTGATTAGGATTCTTATATTTCTGTTTGTTCTCCAGTATGACAGGGTCAGATTTATCAACAACTGATTATCCAGGAAAGATTCCTCCGGGGCTGGATCTCCCTAGTGATGTTGCTGATGAAAAGAAGTGTGAGAAAGAAAAGGTCCGAACTTAGCGTAAATAGCAATAGAGAAAGGAAGCTGCCAGAAGTTGTGAACAAATTTGGATATTGTCCATCAAAAAGATCGCAGCACAGGGTTGCGTTTTATGAGACCTGTATGGTTGATGCTGGGAAATGGTTATTTCAAGTACAAACAGCAGTGTCCTGTAATCGGTATCAGCGTATTCGTCTTTGAACTATCTCAGCATTTGCTCATTTTATAGACAAAATTGTTCTACGCTTCTGTAGTATGATTGCCAAACCAAATTCTCTCTCTTTTCACACTCCCCTTTACCTCCCACACGTCCTTGTTAATTTTTGTCTATTAATATTCTTTAATTCATTCAATTCAACGGTCAGAAATTGAGAAGGATGTGAAAGAAGTAAAAATGGGTGTTAGATAGCACCATCCAAAATTAATTACCAAGTTTCAATTGAAAAGCTAATTTCTCAACCTGAACGGATAACGTGAAAGTCCAAATCATTTCAAAGTGATCTGTATTGCTTTGTTTAAAAACTAAAAGTAACTGCTAAACAAATTTTAAGCTTTCAATAAATTGAAAATTGGAAATTAATAATTGAAAACGAAATAGTTATGAAACGATTGTTAAATATACTTTGTTCAATTTTGTTTATGCGATGTGCCTTGTAACATGACCTTTTGTGGAAAGAGAGAATATATTCACCATCCCAAATCACTTCTCTCATACCCTTCTAAATATTTAATATTTTCTATACACCACTAACACTTGATAGAAAAATATTAAAATATTAAAAAAGTGTGGGATGAGTAATTTGGACTGTGTGAATATAATATTCCTTGTGGAAATCATGAAAAGGTTAGTTTCTATTCAACATCATCGAGGTTCTTGAAGGATCCACTTAACTTGGATCCTATTTTTGTTTTTTGTTTTTTTTTTTTTAACATACGTTAGTATCTACACTAAGGGGATGAGAGAATATGCTAAGTCTCACAATGAGAGAATAAATGTGGTTCAATTTCGCTTTTTGCGAGAATCGAACCTAAAACATCTCACTTACAAGTGAAGATGATTCTACTTCTGTTTTAAAATTTCATAAATTTGTTTAATGCATTTGCCTTAACTGAATTATTACTTGAGGTAACATTCTACGTACTTGTATTCTCTTGTACCACTTTATTCTTATTTATACCAACTTATCCCATAAAATGATATTTTGTGCGCTTGAAAGAAATTTCCTTCCACTCGTCCCACGTTCAAATCTTGGAGATCTTAGATAAGAATTGGCCTTCATTTTCTTCTCGAATGGAGTTGAGCTTAACTGTACTTACAAATGAGTTCTTGGTGTTTCTTTTAAAAAGCACTTAAAATGTTTTTGAAATTCAAAATCAATTTCATCAAAAGTGTTTTCAGTCATTTTAAAAATACTTATAAACGAACTATTGGTAGTTCTTTTGAAACTTTCAAAGTTTTCCCTTATCTAATAAGTGACTGGAGACTTTTGAGGTTAAATACCTATTTTAGAAGAGAATTATTATTGGCACTCCAAAAATATCATTTTACACTCCAAACTTTCTATATTTGGAAAGAAAAATGCACCTATGAGAAGTGTAAAATGACATTTTTGGAGTGCCAATAACACTTCCCTTTTAGAAATTTTTTTTTTGTTTTTTTTTGAACAAAACCTATTTTCAAAATCTTGAACAAAAGACAACCCTATAATTATGAGTTCGTTTGGAAGTGCTTCTAATATAACTGAAAATGCTTTTGGTGATAATGTTTTTGAAACCAATCATCAGTACTTTTGGAACTCATAAATATTTTCTCTAAAAGCGTTTTTAGCTATTTTGAAAACACTTATAAACAAACCCTATATAGATAGGTAATGTCATTGTATGTCCCATGGTCCTTAGTTTAAACACATGAGATAGATTATGAAATAGGTAGTATAGCAATAGAGCATATGCATAATGCATGGGAAGAACATGCATGAAGATGGTGCATGCCTGCCATTGGCGTGTTCATTTCAGCAAATATTGCCGAGAATTTAGTTCTCATTTGCTGTACCTACAAAATCAAAATCTGGTCAGTGCACTGCCCACTAATTAATTAATTAATTCATCATTACCAGTTGCAATTCTCTCTCTCTCTCTCTCTCTCTCTCTCTCTGGAAGAACAAGACAGATTACAAAGAAGATCTCTGTGGATCTTTAAATCATCATACCAAATTGTAACTTAGGTAGTATAATTTAAGGAATGTTACCAAATCAAACAAAAGCATAATCATAATTAGTGGCGACTTTGGGGGAGAACAAAAGGAGCAGCTGCACAAGTAGCCCCTAAAATCTCAAATTTGCCTCTGATTGTGCCCGTTATTTTAAATGAAGATTAAAAAATTGAATAGTTTAATAAACATATACATTGAGATTACCAACAGACAAACATTTCAAATATGGGTTCATATATAATTCCATCAGGTAATTAGTCAAATATTAAAAAAAACTGGAAGTAATGAATTTGCAAGACACAAGTTTAAAAATACAAAACTGCACATGCAACTACAAGATCTGGCTGCACAGACAATAACACTTTTGTTCTTGCTGTTAATACCTATTATTTACACTTTTTTATGCTCATCCAAAATATTACTATTTAAATCTCACCGGATTAAAGTACGTGAGATTCACTTAAAGAGGTGATTAGTAGATTGATTAGTTTTGTGTCTAATACCTTTGCTATATCTGTACATTATAATAGAAGAAGAAATTTTTAAGAATAATCTGTCGTTTTGACTGTTATAGTAAGAGTGGATTATGTCTCACACTAATAAAAATTAAATCTACAATTGACATTACAAACACGTAATTGTGCACTCTTTATAAGATTATTTTTCTTTTTAAATATTAAATGTTTGGAATTCCAATAACAATTTTTTAATATAGTAATTGCTTTTTTCCTTTAACAAATGATGTTATATACACTAAAGGGGTAGGAAATTGGGCTAAGCCTCACAATGGGCTAGCAATAATTTGGTTCAAATTCATCTTTGACGATGAATCGAACCTAAGACCTCTCACTTACAAGTAAAGAGAAATATCACTAGACCGTAGTAATTAATAAGTTAATAACATCACTATTAATACTCAAATTTGAGAGGTAAACACAAGACCAATACGATCAATCCTTGGTGGGCTCAAAATGTAAATCTCGATAATTGACAAAAAGATTTAAGCGGTTCATTCTAAAAAATGGGATACGCCCATTGTAGTGGTGTATATGTCACATCCCAGCTCGGGCCCCCACCACATCCCCGGGCTCAACTCCACTGTAGCACGATATTGTCCGCTTTGGGCCTCGACCACGCCCTTACGGTTTTGTTTCTGGAAAGTTCTCATATGAGTTTCCAGAAACAAAACCGTAAGGGTGTGATCGGGGCCCAAAGCGGACAATATCGTGATATGGTGAGGGCTCGGGCCGGGATGTGACAGTATATATATAGTAATGCTAGATAAACTAAATGATGTGTTACTAATAAAAAATAAGCACGTTAATCAACACTTAGTAATAATCTAATCATCAATTTCTGTGTCATTTAATTTATAAAATTTTGTCTACAAATTTAGTCTTCATAACATTACCTATACATACATATATATATATATATATGTATATGAATGTATGTATATTCCATGTGGATTTTCAATAGCTCTATGAAAAAAGTAGTGTACTTTTACCCTTGTGGATCTGACGACTTATAAGGGGTGTTCAGCCCCTTTATATAGGCCATAAGTGAGTCCCAAAAAATCATGGGCTCTTAATTCTCTCACCATCCTATCATTTAATGAGTCAAACACGTGGATATGACCTATAATTTATCCTTTCATTATCCACTCGACAAGTGGAGAGGAATTGACATTTACATATAGCTACTTGCATGATTTCTCGGCTCGATATGTCTCGAGCGCAACAAGCGCAATGCTTGTTAGAGAGTGGTTGCAAAACATTTTATCAGAGCTAAGCTTGACAATACATATGTTTCTTCATAGACTTGTTTCCTCATCGATGACCAACAAGTGAGACACGTAAACAAACTTATCCTTAAAGCTCCATACCAAAAAGTTCTCATTTGTACCTACTAAAACCTTGTACATAAAAATTTGTACCTACTAAAACAAACTCTAGTCAGTGCAGTGCCCACTAAATAATTAATTAATTCATTATTACCAGTTTCTTTCTTTCTTCTTCTTTTTATTTTTTATTTTTTTGGAAGAACAAAACATATGAGAAAGAAGATCTCTCTGAATCTTTAAATCATACATATCAAATTGTAACTTAGATAGTATAATTTCAGGAAAATTACCAAATTAAACACAAGCATGATCACAACCGTCATTTTAAATGAAGATTAACAATTGAATAGTTTAAGTATAAAATTTATACAATAAAAATATACAAATTGAATATATACATTCCTCAAAGAGAATGGAAAAATTAAATATTTGAAGTAAATGAATAATTTTCGATCATTCTAGAACAAACCCCTCATAGACTAATTAAAGTCGCTGAATTAACATAATAAAATCGGTTTGTATAAAATTTACATTAGGAATAGAGAAAATGATATTTAATAAACAATTGATTGAATTACATTATTATTAACCTATTGTGAGGCTAAATGCACTCTTTCTCCTTTAGTATAGATAATATTATTTGTTAAAAAAAAAAAATCATTTGACAATTAATTTAATCACATTATTATCCGCGTGCGAAAGATTTTTTTTATAAAGAAAAAAAAAATGATCATTTGACAACTAATTGGATCACATTATTATACGTGTGTGAGAAAAATTTTTATAACCTGCACTATGCATATCTTAATTAAAAATTAAGAAATAATATTTAATAAACAATCGCGTGCAAAATGCATTTTTGAATTACAGCGCGCTACCCGTAATTTATACATTTTAAATGTTTTTTGTCATTTGTTTATTCTTTTCGTTCTTCCCTTTCATTTTTTTATTCTTTTCTCTCTTCCCACTTATATTTATATTGTATTTTAGATAGCCAAATTACCAAATTACCCTGACTGCATTCAATTTTGCTGTTGTGATTTTTTGTGGATGAGGGGCATTTTGGTCCAACCATGCGTGACCCCAAAATCTTGGCTGCATGTGCACCGTTCATCCCAATTATGACAAGAGTATTTAAAAATAAATTTACCAAATTACCCTTGGATTATTTTATGCATTCATATTTCAAGCTTTGAAATATTTTTGGTTGAGGGGTATTTTCGTCCAATTATTTTTGTCGAAGCCGGTGACTTACACTGTGCACTTTTCCATTGGCATTCTATATATATAATAAATATTTAATATAATATAATATAATAAGATAAGATAAGATATATATATATATATATAAATTCGAATATGCTAATAAATAATAATTACAACTCAATAAATTGACAGATTATTAACATCAATCAAGTAAAAAAAATGATCAAGGCTAGCATATTGCAGTGCTCGAAACAGAATTTCGTCCCTACTCAGTCCTTGTAGTTCGACAAATGTCTGCTTCATCAAAATTCAACAATCAAACTAAGATTCCAGCACATGAAAACTTAGTTTTTGGTGAATATCTTCGTTTTGCTCTCAGCAAGAAGGTTTTGATATTTCATAAGGAGGATTCTTTTTTCTATATTCTAAATGCCAACCATGCAAATTGATCTATATATAATGCCCATATTCTTGTTTGCAATAGGTATGCTTGGGATGTATCTTCTGGGAGACATCTTCTCAGAAGGGGTGTGTGATAATGTGGTATTCTTTCCTCATCTCAGACTTGATTCGAAAAGATGAGTCTGTTGATTTAAAGAATAATTAATTGAATCCGAATTTAATGAAATAATTATGGGTTAGAATGAAATAATTGTCACACCCTCAAAGCTCAAACTCAAGGTTTGAGCCTAATTTTGCTCTCAATGGTTCATCTCTCCTATCAGTTTTTGAAATTGACAAAGCGTTATAAAGTATGAGAAATTTTAGTAAAAACCAACGTAGAACAATGAGTTAGAATGAAATTTCTTCTTAAAAACTCTACTAGAGATTCCATTGAGCCATTGACAATTATTTGATTGAGTTAAAGCACTCAATATAATAAACATATATATTGAGATTATCAATAGACAAACATTTAAAATTAGTCAAATATTAAAAAATCGGGGAGTAATGAATTTGAAAGACACGAAGTTAATAAAACTACAAACTGCACATGCAACTAGAAAGATCTAGTTGTATTGTATTCCTGCCAATACAGATAATATTCAACACTTCTGTTCTTGCTGTTAATAACTGTTCTTTACACTTTTCTATGCTCATCCAAAATACTAATATAAAAATTAAAAAAAAAAAAATCTCACCCACTTAAATTCGCGTTAGTAAATTTAACCCTCCCAACGAATACAGAGTACTTGAGATTCACTTAGAGAAGATGATTAGTAGATTGATTAGTTTTGTGTCTAATACTTTGTTATACGTGTATATTAAAGTTAGAAGATAAATTTTTGCGAATATCAAGAACACAAGTCACTTGTCGCGTCATTTTACCTGTTATAGTAAGGGTGGACTATACGATTTATATGTCTCACTTATAGAACATACTAATAAAAATTAAATCTATGTGTTATCATTTGAATAATATAAGGAAATTATTATTGCTAGTAGTATTTCTCTTTACTTGTAAGTGAGAGGTCTTTGGTTCGATTCTCGCCAAAGACGAATTTGAATCACATTATTGCTAGCTCATTGTGAGGCTTAACCCACTCTCACATCCCCTTAGTGTAGATAATATTGTTTGTTAAGAAGAAAATTATTTTTCTTTATAGATATTGAATGTTAGGAATGTTAATAACGAGTCCCTAATATCATAATTAATAAGTTAATAACATCATTCTTAATGCTTAAAACTGGGATTAGTACAGTCAACCCTTTGTGGGCTAAAAATATAAAGCTATATAATTGGCAATATGATTTAAGTGGTTCACCCTTAAAAATAGGTTATGTCCACTTTAGTGATCTCATGTATATATTTGATGTGGATTACAATAGCTCTATAGAAAATGTAGCATAATTTTACCCTTAATAAGGGGTATTCAAACTCTTAAAATAAGCCCCAACCGAGTGCCAAAAGTCTTAGTCTCTTTCCCTCAACACCTTATCATTTAATGGACCAAACACGTAGATACGACCTATAAGCTATTCTTTCATTATCCACTCGACATGTGAAAATAAAGTGATACTTACAATGAGCTACTTGCATGATTTTCCAAGTCAACGCGTCTCGAGCGCAACACTCGTTAGAGAATGGTTGAAAATCACTTCATCCGAGGGCTAGGTATGGTAGTATTTATGTCCCTTCATAGACTTCTTTCCTCGTTAGTGGCCAACGCGTGGTTCGAAGTTGATGTCAACAAACCTATCCTTGAAGCTCCATGCTAAAATTATCAGATCTCCTAACTAACTTGAGCGGTCATCTTTCATTTTCGTAGTGGTGCTATATAATACATCTTCGTCTCACTTATACCAGTACAATTATGAATCTGAACACAACCGACTAAAGTTAATTATTTCAAAAGCTGTTACTAACACTTCTTAATTGAAAGAAAAAAATCTTAGTATGGATCCACAGAGTTCGAGATTCTGATGAAACTTGAATTTTGGAAGCTTGTTGTTAATATATAGTTGTCACATCCAAGAGTTGCTTTTGCGTGGAGAATGTAGTGCCTTTGTTGACATAATTTCCCATATTTTGGACACATGCAAAATAATTGAAGCATATCTTTAGTATGCTGCTTCTAAATTGTGCCATGCACATTGATACGCCCATGATATGTTTCTACAAGACAAACAATAATGCTTAATGTGTTTTTTTTTCATTTTTCCTTTCATTTCAATAATGTTTAATACGATCATTCAATTTGAATGTATATGTGGTTATTATTGACAATTTTGCAACATATATTGTTTACGTTTGATTAGATCAAATTTGAGAAATGACATTAGAAACACATGTTTAGCTGATTTCATCAATTTGAAGGTTAAAATTAAATAAAGTGTATAGAAGAAAAATTGCGTAGGAATCTCTTCCCAAACACATGACACAAACGATAAACCAATTCTACTTGACCAGAAGTTAAGAAAACAACACTTAAATAAGGAAAATGTTAGAAAAACTACGTTTTTAGATCATATTTGTAGCTCACGTAATGTGGCAGTAGATGATTAAATAAATTTCAATTTATTCCTATAAAAATATTTGTTGACAACATTATAATGCAACCAAGATCTGTGAGTTTTCTAAGGTCATCTACAACTGAAGGGTCCAGAGGGCTAAAAATAACCCGAAAACTGTCTCCAACCGAGGGTTAGGCCAGAGGGCTCGTGGACCCCATAGAATTTGAAAGGGCCAATCGGTTGGCCCAATCCAGCCAACCAGCCCGGGCTGGGCCAAAAATTCTAGCATTCTTATCGAATATAATCGACATGAATATATTTAATAACCGACAGGAATTCTAGGCCAAATTTCAAATGCAACGGCAAGCTGATGTCAGCTAGCCATTATTTTTGATTTTTTTTTTTTACACAATTTTTTTCCTATAACTTCTATTTTTTTCTATAACTTCCTATAACTTCTATTTTACAAAATTTGTTTCATATATTTTTTAAATTCTATTTTTTTCCTATAACTTCTTCATCATACTCCTCATCTTCTCGTCTCGTTTGTGCCCATTTTTCTTCCAATTTGGAATTGGATGAGGACCCCTAGTTGGAATCCGAAGAGGATCCAAATTCATTACAAACTTGAATTGAAAGAGATTGAATTCAAAGTTGTGTGAATTATAGCCCAATATTCACCCTATTTATAGCGAAAAAAAAAATTCAATGGCTAGCTGACATCACTTAGCTGTTGGATTTGAATTTAAGTTGTAGTTTGTAAATAATAAATTATGTTTGGCCCTATGGTCCTCGGTTGGAGACGGTTTTTTGTGACAGAACTAAAACGAGCCATGTGGCCCGTTGGCCCTCGGTTGGAGATGGAGACAAATATGGCCTTGTACTGTTTATTAAACTACTAATATCTTTGACGATCAGAAGGCTAAAATGAACCTTCCGACCAGCTTTCGGTTGAAGATGGTTTAAGTAAATCAATTTTTTAAATGAAGGAAATAATTAACCCGAGTTTATTATTTTTAAATTGAATTTTGGATTTCCTGCTTTCTAGAACGTGGTACGATGAGCATCACTTTGAACCTGCTCCAAACAATCACGAATCACTGCAGTTATTAGCTGTGGTTTCTTTTGTTTTAGCCGTTTCACTTCGATTGGCATTTAGTCCAATCCCAGTCAACCCATCACTCTCTTATCACGTTCCTTACTCCACGCTCAGTGGCCCCACCCCATCCCCAAAAGTCTATCTCCCACTCACCTCACACAATCGCAAGTCGCAACCCAACCCTTCAATGCCACCTGCGCCAATCACCACGCCCATCTCCTGTCAATCACCAGAAATTTGGACAGTGCTAGTACACTTATCTATGTTTCTAACATTTTTTTTTTTTAATTTTTAAGCGTTTGATTAAATGAATTAAAAAATATTAACAATCAAAATTAAAAACAAATATGTAAATAACATTATATTTTTTAGTGTGATTAAAACACAAAACTATAAGTTACATGTTCTTATATAATTGGAGAAAATTCTTTAACGTTTATCTAATTATATAATAACATATAACGTACATTTTTATTCATCACACATTAAAATATTCCTCGAAAACCACGATATTTGTTACGTGTTATACTTTGAAGATTTATTTGTATCTTTTTTATTTACTGTCAAATAGTTACGTATTTATTATTGTAATACTGCCGTAATATTAATTGCAAAAAGTTACTCTTTTCTAAACCGATAACAACTGAGGGTTTGTCATAAAAAATCCCAGGTGAAGGTTATCAAAACCCCAAATAAAAGATCTTGAGAAAAAATAAAAAAATAAATTAAAATATCCACCAAGTCGTCTTTAACCTTCCTCTTTCTCTCCCCGACTCAGAAACCCAGTAACCTCTCTCTCTCTCTCTGCTCATAGCACCCAAGCTTTCATCGCCATAACAATGGAAAACTACTCGTACGGCTCCTATCCCGAGTCCGGCAACTCGTCCCCACGATCACGAGATATCGATTTCGAGAACACTCCGCCATGGGAGGTCGACCCAGCCAATCCTCAGACCCAAAATTACAAGGCCAAGTTCATGTGCAGCTACGGTGGAAAGATCCTCCCTCGCCCGCACGACAACCAGCTCTGCTACGTCGGTGGCGAGACCAAGATTTTCGCTGTCGATCGCAACATCAAGTTCGCCGCCATCATTTCCAAGCTCTCCTCCCTCTCCGAGTACGACGTGTCGTTCAAGTACCAACTCCCCGGCGAAGACCTCGACGCCTTGATCTCCGTTACCAACGACGACGACTTGGAGCACATGATGCACGAGTACGATCGCCTCTACCGGGCTTCCGGTAGGCCCGCCCGCATGAGATTGTTCCTCTTTAATGCCAGCCCCAACGGTGGCTTCGGGTCGGATGATGGAAGGTCCGATAAGGATCGTTTCGTCGAGGCTCTTAACTCGGGTCCCACCCAGGCGCCCGACCAGAATTCCAAGCCTCCGGTCGAAAATAATGTCGACTTTCTCTTCGGCATGGAAAAGGGTGGCGTCCCTGCTGTCGTGTCGCTTCCTCCTCCTCCAGCGCCTACGATACCGGGACAAGTTGCGCAGCCGCCTGAGTTTGTCAGATCGGGCCACGTAGACCGGGTTATCGGATCGGATCCAGTCGTGACTTCGGTGGAGTTCCAGAGGCAATTGCAGAGGCTACAAATCGGCGAACAAGATCAGCAAGCTATGTACAGGAGAAAGAACGACGACAATCTCGTCGGAGGCTATGGGGCCCCCGGCGATTATTACGTACAGAAGATGCCGGAGAAGGCTCCTCCGGTGACGGCTGCCCCGCCAGCTGGCTACTGGCCGGAGAAGCAGGTTACAAGCGGGGGGTTTCCGGGGGCGGGAGCTCCGGAACAGCCGATGTACATGTTTACATCCGCTCCCGGAGGTGGGGCAGTGTACCACGCACAGCCTCCGATGGTGCGACCGGTAACCGGGCCACCGGGTCAAGGGTATTACCACGTGCCGCAGCGAATGGGGTCTGAGGTTTACCGGGAACAGCCGCCGATGTACAATGTAGTGCCACAACCGCAGCAGCAGCAGCCGACTAATCTCCCGCCACAGCCGCCAAAATACGTGGCGACGTACGCCGACACAACACCATATACACAGGTGGCGTACGATAGCACGACGGGGAGGCAGGTATACTATACCGCGCCGGGAGGGGTTGTGCAGCAACAGCAGCAGGCGTATCAAGCAGTGGGCCCCGCGCCGGTCGGCGGAGAAATGCGAGCGGCCGGTGGGTTGGGTCAGGAGGGTAAGGTGGTGGGTTCAAAGCTCCCACAAGCTTGAGTGTGATTGTTAATTATTTAGCAGCTTCTTTTATGATATTGAAAATATTATATATGACGACATAAATTTGAAAGTTGGTTTCTTGTTTTTGTTGGTAATTTGACATTTAGTTATGTTTGTTCATCTCATATTTTGATTAAATAGTCGAAGATCTTATCAGTTTTTCCTTGTTTTTGTTGTATGGTTTATTAGAGAGAGATTAATGGCATTTGAGATATCTTCAAATTTTGACAAAAAATATTACTCGTCTAATTTGAATTTGAAGTACTAATGTTTATGCAAATTTTTATTTGGGGGGCCGGGCCACTGAAAACTTTAGCAATGAAGTCAGTAGAATAATCTTATTCATGTTTCGTGTTGAACTTTGCAACTCTAGTCAATTGTTTACGATCTTGAGAATTTTATAAGCGCAAATATAATCCTTGACTCTCAGTAATTATTAACTTTTATGTTTTATTGTTCTTGTGAAATGAAACGATAGCAATTAATTTTATCGGTGTAGTTTGCACAAATAAGCATTATTCGTCATTCTCGCTGAGATAGAGTCGGCTTTATTTGGCAGAGTAGGCAAAGGAGTTGCCTCTCATCTGCCGGACATCCCTTTCCTTTTCTAGTCATCTAACTTTCACTTTCTTGCTTTCTCTCTGCCTTCATAAAGGAAGTTTCCTAGATGACTGAATCATGCCTTTCTCCTTGGATCCCAAAGCTGAATGCCTTTTGATGATCCTTCTCTAGGTAAAGGGTGGAAAGTAGAGAGAATTGTGGTGAAGAATTCGTTTTTTATCCCATATTAGACACTGCTACAGCTTCTTACCTTTGGGACAGGATTCCACGACTCTCTTACTTGAATGAGAGTCATTATCTCGTTGCGGTATACTTTTGCCCCGACAATGAAATTCCACTAAGTGAGAGCATCGATATGTGATTAAAGTTCCTCCCCAGCTATGCAGCACGAACCTGTATTTGACCAGGAGGTGGGATAATCTATAAGGTCTGGTTCTCTAACGTTGATTCTGAATCTGGCTAAATTCTTATATTGAAATTGCATTAGTGTTGTTACTTGTTTGCTGTCCAAAAGTGGTATAAGAGGCCTGGGGCTCATTCATTCACTGCAAGGTAGGCAGAAGAGGGGTTTTCTTGTTTCACTGCAAACAAATAAGCATTAATAATAATACCTTAAGTAGCTATCACAAACACGTGCAAACTAGCACAAGCACCGCCAGTACAATTCTGTCGCAAAGATCTTGCCCTTTGGGGCAGAGGCTGTATCAAAGCCGTGAAAATTAGTTGTCCATACAATGGTAGGGGGGAGAAAAGGTGTTGTGCAGCACCAAGGACCGGAGAGAAAGCGAAAAGAGAGAAAAGGTAAGCACAGGAGTGATCGGGGGAAAAGTAGGGGGGATGGGGGAGGCACGGGGAGAGGCCAAGTAGATGGATAGGTTAAGAGGAGGGGGATTGCCTCTCGCTGGTCTCAAACTAAAGCAAGGGACCGACGGTTAAGACTTACAATCAGTCAGAATTTCCGTTTAGAGAGGGGTAGAGAGCACAGCCAAAAGGACTTAGGAATGTAGGAATTCTTCATCTCTTCTTTGTTTTTTCGAAGTAGACTCTTTAAAAAAGATATTACTTCGAAATAAAACAAAACGGCATCAATGACAAATTATTTGTACATCTGCAATGTACTATATATTATATTCTGCTGCCAAATGCAAATAAACAAAATGAGCTGGTTGATATGCAAATAATGTGTATTTGTCCTTACGAAAAATGTCTATTCATCAAGTTCCTAAGAACTTTATCACAATAAAACCACTTCGGCACCATGAAACTGATCACAAATAATTGTGACAAAAAAAAATTGTCGAAACTTATTATAAATATATATGTTGTCCTTCCCTCTCGTCGTACGTCGACGGAGTGCTGAGGTGTAATTATCTCTAAAATGTCATGCAAATCCAAACAAAATTAAACTAATTAAAAAATGAAAGAGATTTCCACAGAGACAGGTGTGCGATTGTTTTGGCAATGAATCAAGCATGAATAATAAGTAATGACAACTACACTGTACAAAATTTTGGGAATACTCCCTTGCATAATTTAAACAGTTAGAATTTTATTTAAGTATCTAATCATTTGTATTACGATATTTTACTAAGTCGTTGTATTAGAAAAATATCTGCCCCACTAGGCATTTGGGAGTTGCCACGTGACATGTTTCTTTGAATTCAAGCAAAAGGTAAGGATGAATCATGTATGAGGAGTCCCTTTCTTATCTTATTTTCCTAGCAACTGTCCACCATCATAATGTCTCCATTCACACAATTGACACAATTAGTTGATATATCTATATATCTATATATATATATATATATAAAACAAGGACATGGAAAATTTTATTGTTTAGACCAATAGGGTGCGGCTACATGTTAGTGTTCGTGTCATTCATTAATATTTCCTTTTCAAATTTTGATTCACTACTTCTATGCTGCATTATTAATGGAACAATACTTGACTATTTTAGAGTTTTATAGGAAGTTTTCTTCAAAACATTTTGTGCTTATTTAACAGATGTTTTTGTTTTATCAAAATCGTTTATTTTAGGAAGTTTTAACAAAACTGTTCACTTTTAACGAAAATGACATTTTTACTCTAAAAAGTCACTCTTGGTACTGTTCAATTACAACACTTTTTGTCTTTTTTATTAAAACTCAAAGTTTTAAAGCCATATTCATTAGTTTTCCTTTTAATTTATTTATAAAGCATTATATAAAACAAAATCATTTAGCCATTGAACTATATGAAATTAGATGTTCAAAATTAATAAAAATATTATGAAAAAATTATCCTATTTATTATAATTATTTGACTAAATGACTTTAATTTTTTGTTTTGTTTTGCATATATTATCTTTACTGAATGATTTGTATTCCGAAGAGACCTTATCCTAAGCTCGAAATGTTAACGTGATGTATAATGTGAATAATGAAATCCTACGGTGAAGAGTGTATTTAAATTTCCGCAAAGGAAATGAGGTGATGATTTCAAGTTGTCACTTCACCATGACAAAAAAGTAGGTTTTGACGTTTTTATGATGTTTGGTAGGGCAACAATTTTCAATGTATAAAGTTATTTATTTAATTCCTCGTTTTATTTCCTTTTCTCAACCGGGGTTTGCTAGGCTTATTTATATTTTCATCTCTAATCATCTCTTATCAATAATAAACCGAGAGCGTCTTTAAAACTTAATTGGATTCACTTCAGATGTTAGTGTTTGGAGTTTAGAGATCCAAAAATTTAGCATTTGATTTGTGTGGCAGAAAAAATCATTTTGTTTGTGTGGAATGGACCAACGGGATGAGTTCATAAAAATAGTTAGATTCAATTAGTCTAGATTCCTTTTATTCCTAGGTTTCAGACATTAAGATCCGGATTGGATCCAATTCCTTTTAAAACATCTTGTGCTATAAAGTCCTATTCAGGAGTGGTCCTTCACTGGTTAAACTATAACTTTCGCCGTAACTGTTATTCTTACGAGCTTTAATCATTATTGGAGATGAAAATTGTGACCCTCACTCCCGCAATTTCCTTACAAATAAGGATGTCATTGAGGCGCATTTTCTAAAGTTGAATATCATTGAGATATTGAATGTACAAGTCAATCCACCTGACATAAAAAGCTAAAATTGCCTCAATTTCTCTTACGTGTCAGTGAGTTATATATATAGGGTGGTGCTCTCACATGTTATTTTGACTGTTTTCAATTCATTTGACACGACGACTACAATTTCAAAGAGTGCGAGAATTATAAAAAGGAATGCGTGGATGTTACGTCGAATACAATCGGCCGGATGCAATCAACCATAATGTGAGTGGGGCAAAGCAGAAAATCATGGCAAGTGACTAATCCACCTGATTAGCATTCCATAATTAGTTATCCTGCGCAAAATACCGCCATCCTTGAATAGTTTAGTACTATTCTAATCACAACGGTTGCATTTGTAACCCCGTTACTTGAAGAGTTAACTTAAACCTACTCATTTTTTCTCTCCCCCTTCCCCCTCCCCTCTCACTCCAAATCTCATTTTTTCTTCTCTCTCCTTTTTCTCTCCTCGGATCCTCTCTTCTTTCTCACTTATCCGATCCTCACCTTTTTTTCCCCTCCTCTCTCCTCCTTTTAAGCTCCTTGGATCCTCTCTTCTTTCTCACTTCTCCAATCCTCGCTTTTTTTTTTTTTCTCCTCTCTTCTTTCTCCCTCTTTTGCGACCTCTCTTTGGACTTCTTTGTCCAGTTTAAATTTTAAAATTTAAAAACTATTTTAAATCTCATACCAAACAAGTTTTTAAATCTTAAAGAAAATTGTTTTCAAGAGGTGTTCATGTTCTTAAGAAATGTTTTGAGAAATGATGAAAATCTTTCAATAGGATACCAAACAGACACTTAGGATGCCGCTATTTGCACTTGAAACAAGTCCTGTCCTCTAATTGGTGTTAGGAGAGCAAATACAAGGTGACCGTTCATGACTGCCAGTAACAATAGCTATAATTCTTGAAGGTAAGAAAACACCCACAATTCCACTTGGAGATTGTTCTTTCTTCCACAACGAACGAGTGAATTGCTCGGAAGAAAACAATCACGCAGCCAAAAAAGCCATGGAAAAGGAGGGAACAATAAACACTAGAACTGTTTCTAGGTGTCAATACCTAGAAACAGGAAGGGAGTATGAGTTCAGGGAATTCACTTATGTGGAGGTGGGAGGAAAACAAAAAGATATCAGGTGGAACCGTGTTCCTGGCCTGTTTCTTTTTCCCAACATTCCACCATTTTTCTGAAAACTATCCCCTGTGACTAAGAGCAATTCAAACCATGTTCCTGGAACCTAACCTTAGAAATCCTGCATCTACAGTAGCATGGTGAACAAATCACACCAAAGTTACATGCGAGACGAAAGTTTGCATACCATCATCATTTAGATCAAGGAACACTAACAATAACACTACTTTTTGTCAGAAGCATTCAGTCTTTCATTCTATTTAATAAGTTCATAAACTAGTGCAGCAACATAAATGCCTCAAGTGCATACATAAGTATCTCCCTACATATAGATAATCATATTAGACATTTCAAGTTTCTAAGTATGGTAATAAGGATCGATGGTGATCCAGACAAAACAACATGGAAGGTTTTACCACATTAAGACACTTGACAAAGATCACATAAAACGAGCATCTCGCACATGTTACACGAGCTTCCTCAACTGGCATCAGACTTCTCTAAAGCTGTAACAAAGCCCAGAGTCACTGTGTTAGTACATGAATTCTCGGACACGTTTTTAGTAGATTTTGTGCATGTGTATAGAGAGAGAGAGAGAGAGAGAGAGAGAGAGAGAGAGGGAAGGAGGGAGAGAGAGAGAGATTACTGTTGTAGTTGAGAAGCTTCTCGATAAGATCAACATGAGTCATAAGCATACGCCGGCAGCAGTAGCGGACCAGGCCCAATGCATCTAGTGCGTCTCTGTATTCCAGAAAATTCAAACCAGTTAGTAAACTCTTTTCTAGAACAAACTAGTTTGATAACTTATTCCTACAATTCACGCTGGCTGTCTACAACCGGTGATGAGTACACTTTTAAAATTACTTATAGCTATTTGTCTGCACGTTAAACTCCAATGTGGATTGTGGACACACATTGTATGCACACAGATGCAACAGAAAAAAATATTGGAAACATATTATGCATCATTCAAGAATCTATAAACCACACCCAACTGATTACTCCGTAAAAACTGAAAAATGAGCATTTCCCATTGAGAAACCTCTTATACATGTCATTACAAGGCCTATTTTATTATGACCATTCAAGGATCGATAAACTACACCTAACAGATTAGTCTGTCAAAACTGAAAAATGAGCATTGCCCGTCAAGAAACCTCTCATCCATGTCAATACAAGGCCTATTTTATTATGCACGCAGATGTAACAGTAAAAATCATGGAAACAGATTATGTACCCTTCAAGGATCGATAAACTACACCCAACTGATTAGTACTGAAAAATGAGAATTGGTCATCGAAAACCCTCGTATCCATGTCATTGTAATAGCCTATTTTATTATTTGTTTTTCTGCCAATCGTACAACATACATATCGTCATAATCCCCTCATAATCAACCCATACAGAACTGGTTTTTGACATTATATTGTGCAATTCACAACATGCCTCCATTAGCATAAACAAAGAAAGAATCATTGACATTATTAAATTTTAAAAATCCAAAATTGAGCAACTTACCCTTCAGTGTAATCGGCCTGCAGCAGGTCGAGATACGTATCCCACTTGTTTCCGATAACCTAAAATTAAACATATAAACCACCAATTATTCAGTCATTCCCAAATCCAAAACCCTATCGAAACGATGAATAAAACTAAGAGGGGCAGAAAACCCAGGCCTACGGTTAGGTAAAGGGAGAATTGGGGGTACCTTGCCGCAGGTGAAACAGCGCACTGGGATGATCATCTTGATTTGCCCTAACTCTGTTCTGCGTGTCGAAGTGTTTGTCAGTCTTCGACAACCACGAGGGCTTGAGAGAGACGGGGACAGAGAAGGGGAGGAGAGACGGAGACTAGAGTGGTTTTTAAGGTTTTGGGTTGGGATGGGCAAATACCCTTAACATATCCGCGGTTACTCCTCATTTAAATTTTATAGTTACGGTTAAATAACCGTCTAGGTAAATAGACGGTTTACTTATGAAATTTAAAGAAGTGGTTATGAGTATATGTAAAACTAACATAAACCATGTTCTCTATCGGATAAAACTTTAGTTCAATGCTATTGACTATAATGCATGGTTTATGTGGCTAATATAATATAGTTTTCCTTAACCACTTTAAATTTTATGGTCCATTATAGATATTATCTTAGTACTTTACATTCCGAGTTAAATAACCCAAGAATATTATCTTTTAACAATTTTTGTAACCCAAGAATACTTAGCAAATTTTATATTACCTTCATTGATAACAGTTAAAAATATCGTCCGTAAATTATTATTTTAATTATTAGAATGGTATAAGGACTTTAAAAATTAAAATGTGAAAATGTATGATGAATAACGGTGTTTAATTGTCAGGAAAAAAAAATTATGACAAATTTTTCTTTTTTAATTTTCAGGTTGACGAGTGAAAAATGAGTAAATGGTAAAAAAGAAAGGATAAATGAGTAAATGAGTAAATGAGTACTAAACAGTTACAGTTAAATGGGTATGGTTAACCGTTTATAAACGGTTATGGGTATGAGTATAACCGTTTAAGCAATTACCCAACAGATAAATAGTTATGCGGGTATGAAAATAAACAGTTATGGATAAATAACTACGGTTACCAACTAGCCATAACCGTTGCCCATCCCTAATTTTGCGTTTATATAACTGGTTAATATAGCAGACCACCGCCTAATGTGGTGGTAGTCCATTAACCCAAAAGCAAAATAAAAAAATTGGTGTCATGGCGGCATAATCTTTTTCTCAAATAACCTTTATTTTTACTTTTTACATATTTTTTTTAATTTCAAGCGTTAGACCAAATGAATTAAAGAAGATTAATCACAAAAATTAATAAAGGTGTGTGAAATGTAGAATTGGATGTGTGAATAACACTTTCCTTCTCACATATTTTAAAAAATACTCTCTATTTTTTTAAGGTAGAAATTTCATTAAACAATAAAACCAAATACATCACTGTTCAAGAATAAATTCTCAAATTACTAATGCAACAAAAAGATGAAACAAAACCTAACCAACATAACCACATCGAACTAGACAAAAACTACGCTCACAAGGGCAAAACCTTTGCAACACTTTTTGATGAACTTCCACACAACGATGCACCTCGCCAAAGAAGCCCTGCTATAGTGACAACATAGAGAAGTCGACATATTCCTCTGCCAGGCATAGACAACAAAACCACAACCTAAATAAAATAAACAAAAACACTAAACCATAACACAGAACCCCAATCACAAAGGCTCTCCGCAATAAAACGAGAGAGCAACCTAACCACAGAGAGAGAGAGAGAGAGAGAGAGAGAGAGAGAGAGAATAGCCATAATAGAAGGATTTCAAAGTGCCAAAATAGAATTATTTTAAGAGCATGCTTACGTATCCGTAATCGGAGTTTATTAAACATTGAGGAATCAAAAAAGTAATGGGGTCCTATACAAATTTTGGAATTCAATTCCTTGTATTGGTGAATTGGATTCCTTAGATGTAGGTGGTAATCCAATTCCTAATTGTTTGGACAATCGGAATGACACTTTTGTTCCCTTTATGCGTCACTTACTTTTTTTATTTCCAAGACTATCCTTTATAAACCCATTAACCCTAGTTTAATTATGCACAACTCCTTACTTTTTTTTATTTCTATGCTCATTCACATTATGCATAACTCCATGCATATGCCGAAGAGAAGAAACTACAACTTAAGAGAGAAAATTTAAACATTAAAGTAAATACTTAAATTTATAAAAAAAATAAATAAATAAACAAAAGCATTTAGTGTGTCTATGAAATAAAAAAGCAATTTAAGTTTTTTCTTACTATTATATATTGTGTTAAATTTTATTAAAAAAAGTATATAAAATATTTGATTTGGGACAAGAGCATTTTAGTAATCATACTGGTTTATATTTCGATTCTGCTGAATTAGTAAACAGTTTTATGGAATTAGTGTCATTTATATTCCGATTCCAAGATATTTAAGTAAACAACTTCAACAAAAATCCGATTCTGACTTATCCTCATTCCAACTCCCCTCAATTCAATTCTTCGTATTTTCATTACCGTGATAAGCCTTTTCCGGTATAGAAAGTTTAGAGGATAGAAAATCCAAAATGCCCCTAGTTATAAACCTCTTGTGCAACTGCAACCTACTCTTAGCATTCTGGATCCTCCATCCATGGGGCCGGTTCCTTTTAACCAGCATGTTGTTCTAGATACGTAATGTGTATATCATTTCAAGTTTCTCGAAAATATAATCCCTCAGTTGGTGTTACTTTCTGTCACATTGCTGCTGTAATGACATCTCTTCTCTTCCAGGGTACGAATGACTTGCCTGTAGAGCCAACTCAACCGCAGAGAGGTGCATCTTTAACTCGGTTTCGTGAGAAGAGAAAAAAACGTTGTTTTGATATGAAAATCTGTTACACTCAGGTAATGCAAGATCATTTACTTGTTTATTCATTTTCCTTGTCTTTTGTCAATTGAAATTTCTCTCCCCTTCTTACAAACACACTCCATCTCCTTTGGAAAGAAAGTAGTTCATGATTCATTCGTTTCCTACTACCATTTGTCATTTGTATTCAGCTTCTGATAATGTTGTTGCTTTTGATGTTCTCCTTTGAGATAAAATATATTCGAGCTGAGACTTGGTGTAAGTAGTTTTTTCGAAGAAAATAAAGCGTTATTAAACATAAAGTCTGATGATTAATGCTAGTGTTGTCTTGATATTAGTATGCATCACTAAGCAATTATATTATTACAAACAGTAGGAAGCTATCTTCCATAGAGGACTATTTGCTGTACAGATTCATGTACATGTTTTCTCAGTTTGCTATCTTGAATATGTACACAATCTGGTCTTTTATTTGGAAATCTGTGATGCTTTCTGTAGCACAGTGAAACTGGCACGGATATGAAACGAAATTGAAGGTCCGGGTTTCTGAAGTTATCATAGACCTGAAAGATGAAAGCATTAATGGAGAGGTACGTTGTCTTCTATTTTGTTCAATGACACGTTTTGCAATGCAGAATCGTTCTTGCCGCTTTCAATTGTGTGTGCATATTTCTGATGCAGCGTAAAAAGGCCAATCTACATCATCCAAGGTTAGTTCTAATGATGAATGTGGTATCAAGGTTCGGTTCATTTGTAAAAGAGGTCAGTCATCAAGGTAAGAGACCGAGAATTGTGTACTTCAGCTTCTCTCAGTGACGTGTTGACCTGCTCATCCACGAACATGCTCTTAATATGCGTTTAATTGATTTCAGTGATTGAATTTGAGTCCCCTGCTTCGTCTGGTGCTACACAGGGATCTGTACAAGATGAGAGCATACAGGAAACTCTGTGAGTGTCAATCCATCTCTCCATATATCGTTCCTTATGTTCTAAGGATCCTTATTTTTTGATAGGTCATAGGAAATTCCTCATGGGTGTTTACCTTTCTTTGTTTTTTGCTATTAAATCAGATTGACGGTGAAGCTAAAGGTTCAGATGTTATAGCCATGGTTGCCAACATTGCCCCTTCCGCCGTCAATGGTGATAATTCAGGCATGACCGTAGGCAGGAAGTTGTGAAGTCCCTTGCAGCCTGGTTGTTTTTGGTTTTCTATATTATTACAGGTGATGTCAAATAGATCATTGTCTACAATATATATCAACAAAGTCAAAAAGATCATTCTCGGAAGGTTTAAAGCCTCTGTTATCTTCCAAAATTCTCCACAGAATCTCTCAAGTTCCATCAATCTGGTTCTCAAGTTGCAATCTGGGAAGGACTTGAGCATTCTGAGGTCAGTTCAGTTGTGCTTTTAATTTCATTCCCCAGTTCCTTGTACAAATGTAGTTATTGTATGCATCTACTACTATCCTTTGTTCCTTTCCTTTCTGTCGGAATACACTGATAACGTTATGGTGCTTACTGCGTGATTTAAGCATCAAAGGAAAACGTGTCGTGATGGTTGCATATGCAGATTGACACCTTATTTTCCCACTGAATCTTATAGAACCAGGAATTTCTTGCCATGTACAAAGTTTTCGGTGTTAGCAAAATACGAAGATGGTGAAGAATGAGGGAATCGGAGAAAGGTGCATGGTGGAATTGAAAACCAAATTGTTCGATTCCAAGTCATAGTTTAACACAGCTTGCATCTGCAGCAATTGGTGGCTTTTATGGTCCATCAGCTGCATATACATGAAGCACAATGCCTTTGCTTAACATTAACTCGTAAACTCTGCCAATTTTCTGATTGCAGACCGTACCTTGACACACTGGAATTCATTCAAAGCACAACCAGTTACCAACACACAATGACCTGTTTATAGCATTCGTCCAAACTAGTTCTCGAGTGGGGCTTTCGGGTTGTATCTTCAATGTATACAATTGGACTGCGAGTCCCACTCGAGAGCTCATGATAGCTTGCCTTTTCTTGTTAAAATAAGTAAACCCTTTCACCTTCATTTACAACTGATTTCAATCCGAAATATCTTGACATCCGTCCAACATGTTCGGCAGTTGCTTCAGCAGCATACTAGGCCAATTTTGGTCCTCCTTTCATTTCCGGTAAGGAACCAGCGGACGCCCCAAATTTCTTGTTCCCCTTGGAGTCCGTCACAGTAACAAAGGAACTGTTTTTCATCAGCTTTACGTGGACAAAATATCAGCATTTTGCTCCCTAGCATAACTAGGAAACTGAGAACCCCCTCCAAAGTTGTGCCTTTCCTTGCGCCATTCTCAGAAGAATTGAAACCAATTTGAAAATTATCCACGCCATCTGTAAGTGTAAATCCCGCAATATATATTTTCAGTCATCAGAAAGAAATTATCACTTTGATCAATGAATGAGCCAATTTTTGATGAGTTGCAACAAAAATGAAATTATGCGAGGGACTGAGGAAGATCATTAAACTGTAAGTATGCAACGATGGTGGCTAAAAAACATTAGGTTTATTGATTAATTTGCCCCTGAAACTATTATTTAGTCTCATTTTAGCTATGAATCTAGTTTTATCTCACTTTGCCCCTTAAACTAACATTTTCGTCTCATTTAGTCATAGTCACCCTTTTTGTTCATTCTGTCAAATAGACACTAAAGTAAAGGATAGTATGGACGTTTCATTTTTTACCACAACTCTTTGCCTCCAATTGTGCAAGCTAAGACAGTCCGAATTCTATTTTTGACAACTCAAACTAAAATTTTGACTTTAGCTTACAATAAACTTTTACAAAAAGATTAATTGTCGATTGAACTCAAGGACTAGATTCACAAGCCTAAATTCACTTCTCTTCTTTCATTTAACCCTAATTTGTTTCCCCAACGTTTTTCGCTACAATTCACATGCAGCCTAGTAAATATGGGGTGATCACCCAAAATTTCCATGTAAGTACCGCATCGCTAGGCATGGGGCGTAACTTCGCCTATGTAAGAAACAAAATGTCCATATTACCTTTTAATTTAACGTCTATTTGAAAGAGTAAAAAAAGATGGGTGAACTGAGACTAAATGAGATGAAAATGACAGTTTCAGCAAGCAAATATATTAATAAGCCTAAAAGAATGACCAAAATCATCATGCAAATATAATGTTTGTAATTTCCAACTATCACAAGTGAGATAGAATTTCCTACAGGAGGATGTGTTACAAAGAGATTTTATTTCTATTAAACTACATTAAGAAGAGAGAGAGAATTTGAATCTGAAGTGTATTGATTTGAAATAAACTAAGATATTATTGTAGAAGAGAGAGAGAATTTGAATCCAAAGTGTATTGATTTGAAATAAATTAAGATATTATTGTAGAATGTCAATGTGAAGGGGATATAAAAAGAAGCAACAGAAAAAGAAACAAAAAGTTGTGTGGTAGCTTCCACTATCTCTATGCACCAAGTAGTACTTTCCCACAATACTTGTGAGCTTAAGACATAAGCTTTTCAGAGTAGATTCCAATATCTCAATGCACCAAGTAGTACTTTCCCTAATATTCTTGTGAGCTTAATACATAAGCATTTCAGATAATCTCTCATCTCATGCACACAACTCGATCAACTCCAATGTCTCAATAAAAAAGTAGCTTCCATAAAAATAAAATTAATATTCCCTCTTCATCATTCACGTATATATCTATATAGGTCATAGAAAAGAAAATAGATCATAGAAAAGAAAGTTCAATTATATATAAATCCCATATCTATATAAGGGATTTTAGTTTTTTTTCACGCATAACTTTGAAAAAAAACTGTTTTGAAGTGTTTATCAAACACCTAAAATATCTCAATTTTTTTCATACCCATTTTTTAAAAAGTTAAGCTAAATCAAACCAGGACTTAATGTCACGTTTTGGTAAAGGTAATTGGAATCAAAAGTGGGATTGAATTCCGTTTACTTGATATTACAATGTTTATCGAATATTGGGGAATTAAAATTTGGTGGAATCTACACAAATTTTAGTAACTAACTCTAAAATTTGGGGAATTGACCCTACATTTAGGTAGTATTTGAATTCCGAGTTATTGGGTAATCAGAATAGATTTTTCTTCTCCATTATATCCTACTTATTTCTAAAATTCCAAGATTACCTATTCGCATTAACCCAACAGACCAACCGCTGACAAGTTTAATATGAAATTTAACAATAATTAGAATTAATTAAAAACTCAAATTTCAGCGTGTTTAATATTTGGTGAACAAAGGCATTCGACATATTTTTTCTAATAATTAGTATATAAAATTTAATGAAAAAAATAGTTTATAAAATAATTTAGGGTAAATTACATTTTACCCCCTCAGGTTTGGGATTGATTTCAATTCCTTACAACATCTTTAAAACATTTCAATTTCATACATTTACTTATCATTTTATTTCAATTTTATATATCCGTTAGAAAATCTGTTAAGTAAACCGTTAAGTGATGATGCGGCAAATATGGGATTCACATTTGTGATTGATGTCACGCCCTGGGCCCAAAAATATTAATTTCGGGAAGTGATATTGGTGATGGCCTAAAAACTTTGTTTTATTTCGCAGAATTTTAAATCACGATTCTTTATTTAAATTCCTTAACTCCCTCTCAATAAACATAAACATAATTAATTTAATCTTACTTGTTTTATGGCTGCATCTAACATCTCATTAGACTGCCTACGTACCCTAAACAGGGATCAAGCCATTCGTAGTTCACATTTCCAAAATTCTAACCAAATCCGAATATATTCATTTAATCCAACATATACCGCAATCGTACTAATATTCAAACCTCAGGTTAGGTCTCAAAAGCATAATTAGAATAACGAAATTTGCATAAAAACACAATGTCGGCTCCTGGCTGTGCTCCGCTGTAGGTGGTGATCGGCCGACCCATCTCACTGGAAAATTCAACTATTTCTAAAAATTCTCAAAAATTACAAAAATGAAGATCTCAAAGAGTAGAGCAAACTTTATACTTGAGGCCAAGTCCAATTTGGCCTGTAAAGGCTCCAATTTATCTCGAACCCGCCAGAAAACCTATACACTGGTGGCCTCAAAATGTCACCTCCGGTGCTCCGCCGCCACTACCATTGTTTGGGTTTTGTTCCAGACCTCAAGGGGAGTCTAATGGTGGTGGAGATGGATGTAGTTTGCTTCAAATTTAGTTTATTCAAACACACACCCACCGCACCCCACCGTGCGGTTTCTCCCTATTTAAAGTCCAAATCCCTATATTTTTGGGATGTAATAGGAAGAGGAAGGTCATGGAGGGGTTTTCAAGTGGTTGTTTGATGTAATTCATCGGAAAAGGGGTGAAAACCCGTCGGAAACGTGTATAGGTGCCGATCGGGTCAGGTCACCAATAGCCGAGTACCGATCATCCGTTTTTCTTTTCTTTCCTTTCTCCTCTCGATTCTCTCTCCCCATTGGTCACCCTCCTTGTTCCGTCCTCCTCTTTCCATTTTTCCCCCTTTTCTTTTCCAACCGACTTCCTCTCCTCCCTTGTCAGCCACTCTCGTGGCAAATTTCCACCACAACCCCCCAAGATCTAGAATTTTCCAAATCATGGTTAAATGACTATTTTGCCCTTGCTTTCGTTCGCTTCTATTTTATTCGTTATAATTTCGTTTGACGAACGGCTTTTGCTTGCACACTCATAGAATCGAATTCTATCAACTTATGCTAAGAAATACAAGATATATGAGAATAAAATACGTCCTCGTATATCTACGTTATACCACTAGGGCATTTTCTTTCCTTTTCCCATGTATTGATAAAATTTACGACGTAAATTATAATAATTTCCAGAAATAAAACTTTAAAATTCCTAATTCTATTTTCATAACCATAAATCGATTTATTTTTTATTTTCTCCACATATTCATAATTATATTATCTAATTCATATCTTTAAAATTTTCAGGGTATTACATTCACCCCCCGTTAAAATAAATCTTGTCCCCGAGATTTCAACCACCAAGTTACGAAAAGAAATTAAAACTAATTCCACTATTTCTTTTGTGGTGAATATAATTAAAATCTGAGTCTACAATTTTATTCAAGCTCCGTAAATAATTAACCCAACGAATAGTAATCGTGATGCTTACTCACAGTCTCA